GCAGGGGCAGCTGCTGCAGGGGCGGCTGCTGCAGGGGCGGCTGCTGCAGGGGCGGCTGCTCCAGGGGCGGCTGCTCCAGGGGCCAGGGGCAGCTGCTCTTTTTTTTTTTAATTAATTATTTATTTTAGGGTTTGGCAGAGCGCACTCGGCGCTGCAGAGGCGGCTCGCGGGCTGCAGGGTGGCTCGGGCAGCAGCGAGGGGGGGGGGGGGGCGGCCCGCGGCTCCCCAGGGCGTCGCGACGGGGCAGCGGGGGGTCGCGCGTGGCTCCCTAGGGCGTCGCGACGGGTCAGCGGGGGCCGAGCGCGGCTCCCCAGGACGTCGCGACAGGGCAGCGGGGGCCGAGCGCGGCTCCCCAGGGCGTCGCGACGGGGCAGCGGGGGCCGAGCGCGGCTCCCCAGGGCGACGCGACGGGACAGCGGGGGTCGCGCGCGGCTCCCCAGGGCAGCGCGACGGGGCAGAGGCAGCGCCCACGGGCGACACGCGGCTCGGCAGGGCAGCGCGCTGGCTACAGGGGCGGCTCTCGGGCCTGACGGGCCTGCAGAGGCGGCTCGGGGGGGCCTGACGGGTCTGCAGAGGCGGCTCGGGGGCCTGACGGACCTGCAGGGGCGGCTCGAGGGCCGTACTAGCTTGCAGGAGGCAGCGCGAGGGCTGCAGGACGGCACGCGGGCAGACCGAAGGGCGGGTCGCACGGGGGCGCACGAGGGCGCACGTAAGGTAGGGTGCACGAGGGCGCACGAGGGCGCACGAGTATAGAAAGGCGCACGAGGGCGCACGTAAGGTAGGGCGCACGAGGGCGCTTCTAGCGGAATAGTGGGCCCGTAGGAGAAAGCGGTCCTAGGTAGCAACCTAGGCTCGTGATACCATGTTAGAATGTAGAACTGAACGAGAATGTGTGAAACTAGGCAGCAGGGTGATACAAGTAGGAAACCCTAGCAATGTTGTACCCCCTAAGGCTAAACCCACTATAGCCTACACAATATGAACATGTATAATGTTTGACATTACGGGTGCAATGAATCGAAGTAGCGAGAATTGCACTAAGGTGTCAGACGAGTACAAAATGTGAGCGAAGGCATGAGCGAACATTTATACGCGAAACATGCAAACGGTAACGCGGTGTGTGCGAGCTAGCTAGTGCTACGCTGGAAGCGAGGCTCGGGCTAGTCCCGAAGCGTAGGCCGACACGGCCAGGCCAGCAGTGCGAGGTTTGGTAAAACAGTGCGCGCGAAGTCGGCGAAGCCCCGTTAGCAATAACGGGCGAACAACGGCTGCTGTTGTACGCGATGTTGCAGGGTGCGCTAAGGAATATCGAGAAAATTCCTTACACTCTGATAAAACAATCAGCCCATAGAATGTCCATCATGCTTCACAATATTATGAACTTGCAAATATGTTTCTATTTTCAGAATAAAGCACACTAATTCTTTTGACTCGTCAGTACATATCGAGAAAATTCCTTACACTCTGATAAAACAATCAGCCCATATTATGAACTTGCAAATATGTTTCTATTTTCAGAATAAAGCACACTAATTCTTTTGACTCGTCAGTACATATGGATACACACATGATTTCATAATGATATCACGAAAAAAGTATTTGATCATAATCATGTGTTTTCTTATGTATTAATCCCCTGTTTGTGTAAGGTGGCATGGTATCCTGCTCAACACACTTTTAGTATCATGTTCTCCAATAACCACTGCCTGACCACAACAGCAACGCCATGGCGGGATTCGACCCAGCTTATGTCGAACGCAACTGCCCTTGTCTGTTGAATTCAAGGCGATCGAGGTGAGCAGCAATGATAGCGTGGAAGGCGAGGCGAGACGAGACGAGGGAACACAAGATAATCAGCGCTGCGCCCGGCAGTGCATGCCTCTTGCCGAAGCCAACCCCTCGCCTCGCTTCGCGCCATGCGACATTCCCCAGACTGCCCCACCGCAATGGACATCCCATGCCGGCGCGCAGCGTTCTGCGCAGCCACGGCAAACCGCACCACCTTCCGCCTCTCCCCCCAACCCCAACCCCCCCGCCTCCTCAACCCCCCCTCCCCGCCCCCCTTTTACACCTTTAGACGTGACCACGCCTAGGATATCGTCTCTTAGCCGCGCGCCACATGGGAAACTCCGTCCAGGTTTTAGTCGAATGGGCTCGATTTGGCATACGATAGCGATGGGTCGCGCCACCATGACATGCATCGCAACTATCCTTCAAGGATTGGGGGAACAAGTGGTGGGGGTGGTGGGATTGGGCTGTGGGGGAAAAGAGGGGGGAAAGGTGGGGGGAAGAGGGAGTCCTGGGGGAATAGGGGGCCTGAGAAGGGGGCGGATGTGACGTTGCGGGAAAAGCCGAACAGCATGCAGCCTGCCCGTGCGACGGAAAGGGACATCCCTGCGTACACCGGGATTTGTTTACTGACCGTGGGCGCGGCGCGAGTTGACGTGAATACTACAACTCACACGAGTGTGGGCGTGAAGCCGCAAGTTGAAACGGCAGCGCCGATGTGAGAGAGAGAGAGAGAGAGAGAGAGAGAGAGAGAGAGAGAGAGAGAGAGAGAGAGAGAGAGAGAGAGAGAGAGAGAGAGAGAGAGAGAGAGAGAGAGAGAGAGAGAGAGAGAGAGAGAGAGAGAGAGAGAGAGAGAGAGAGAGAGAGAGAGAGAGAGAGAGAGAGAGAGAGAGAGAGAGAGAGAGAGAGAGAGAGAGAGAGAGAGAGAGAGAGAGAGAGAGAGAGAGAGAGAGAGAGAGAGAGAGAGAGAGAGAGAGAGAGAGAGAGAGAGAGAGAGAGAGAGAGAGAGAGAGAGAGAGAGAGAGAGAGAGAGAGAGAGAGAGAGAGAGAGAGAGAGAGAGAGAGAGAGAGAGAGAGAGAGAGAGAGAGAGAGAGAGAGAGAGAGAGAGAGAGAGAGAGAGAGAGAGAGAGAGAGAGAGAGAGAGAGAGAGAGAGAGAGAGAGAGAGAGAGAGAGAGAGAGAGAGAGAGAGAGAGAGAGAGAGAGAGAGAGAGAGGAGAGAGAGAGAGAGAGAGAGAGAGAGAGAGAGAGAGAGAGAGAGAGAGAGAGAGAGAGAGAGAGAGAGAGAGAGAGAGAGAGAGAGAGAGAGAGAGAGAGAGAGAGAGAGAGAGAGAGAGAGAGAGAGAGAGAGAGAGAGAGAGAGAGAGAGAGAGAGAGAGAGAGAGAGAGAGAGAGAGAGAGAGAGAGAGAGAGAGAGAGAGAGAGAGAGAGAGAGAGAGAGAGAGAGAGAGAGAGAGAGAGAGAGAGAGAGAGAGAGAGAGAGAGAGAGAGAGAGAGAGAGAGAGAGAGAGAGAGAGAGAGAGAGAGAGAGAGAGAGAGAGAGAGAGAGAGAGAGAGAGAGAGAGAGAGAGAGAGAGAGAGAGAGAGAGAGAGAGAGAGAGAGAGAGAGAGAGAGAGAGAGAGAGAGAGAGAGAGAGAGAGAGAGAGAGAGAGAGAGAGAGAGAGAGAGAGAGAGAGAGAGAGAGAGAGAGAGAGAGAGAGAGAGAGAGAGAGAGAGAGAGAGAGAGAGAGAGAGAGAGAGAGAGAGAGAGAGAGAGAGAGAGAGAGAGAGAGAGAGAGAGAGAGAGAGAGAGAGAGAGAGAGAGAGAGAGAGAGAGAGAGAGAGAGAGAGAGAGAGAGAGAGAGAGAGAGAGAGAGAGAGAGAGAGAGAGAGAGAGGAGAGAGAGAGAGAGAGAGAGAGAGAGAGAGAGAGAGAGAGAGTCGAGGCTGAAAGCTGCCAGCTCCCAGCTCCGAGCCGCGAGGTGCGAGCCGGGAGCTTGGATTCGCGAGGTACGAGTTGCGAGCTGCCCGTACGCGACGGTCCCCATGATCGCAATGGCTGCCAGGCGTGATGCTTTTTCGCCATGGCAGCAGCTTCGACCCGCTTGACGTTCGGTTGTCCCACGACAGCGAACGGCCACGTCCGGACGGAACTTCGGACGGACGTCTGGACGGAAACGGACGTTCGGACGGACGGATGTTTATCCGTCATGACAGCAGGGGCACAACGACCATGTTGACGTTTGGCAACGCTGAGGCTAGGGGCATACGACTATGACACCACGATGCCTCGTGACGCGCGTAGCTCGAGCTTGGTCGCGAGTCATTAAACAGAACGCTCGACGTTGGCCTGTCACGAGGTCGCGAGACAGTCTGTCAGTCAGTAGGCTCGGCCCGAACCTCTCTCGCCGAAGCTCGATGCTTCTCCTGGTTAATTCCGAACGTATCATGTGTGAGTAGCAGAAGCATCGTAGAGCGTGATAGAGACAGAGTGAGAGCGAGAGGAAGAGAGAGAGGGACAGCGCGCGTATGCAGCTCCTTAGGACCTCGCAGCATGTCATGTCGATTTGATGTCACGAGTCCCACCATCACCATCCAATCGAATCCGTCCCGGAATCAGCGGAGCCAAGAAACGTGAGAGCCAGGCTGGCAGGTGCGAGAATCTGTGCTCGCGGCGATTTCCCCGAGAGAACTCGACCGAGGACGCTTTTTATTTTGCTCGGGCGGATGGGACGAGACAAGGAGCAGCGCAGCAACCGTGACGCTTGCATACCGGCGACTCAGACTGTCGGACAAACGGACGGACGGATTGGATGATAGACGGACGATCAAATTCGATGCCTTTACCTTTACCATCGCATGCCAGGCCGCTAGGCTATGCGAGGCTCATATTCTTGACTCAAATCGCGTCTCTTGGCTGAAGTGCGACGCTCTCCCTGCTCCTGCTCCTCCAGCTGCTGCGCTTGCTTCTTTTGCCCGTCGTCTCGCCGCACTCGCTCGCTCTAGCTCAAAGCAGCTCCCTTGCTGCCTTTCTGCCTGAAAGCACCGCCTTTTGTGCTTCCTTCCATTACCGGCACGCACTGCTATCTGCCGCACTGTGCCGATTCCAAGAATTCATCTTTGCAGAATCATAATCAGTGCTCTGCCACACCTCCAGATCTGTCCACACCTCTGAACTCCACTCTGCCACACCACGCCTCTGCAAGGGCCCAGCTCTCGGACTTTTGCTCTGAGGATTCCCACTGCTTCCTCTCTCTCTCTCCTCAAATCTCTCCAAGAAGGCTTTTGCAGCGCTTCAAAGCACGGCCTTCAGCACTGGTGATTGGAAGCTTTTTTGTTTTCTATCCACTCAAGTTGCTCGGAGCTGGGCAATTTGCCCGGGCTTCCAGGGTGGCACGTGCATGGCGTCATCAGCGGGTGAATCTGGCATTTTGGTCCACTGGGTTGGTGATCCTGTGATGAATGGGGACTCTATGGCTCCTGCCACTGGTGCTGGTGGTACTGCTGCTGCTGCTGCTGCTGGTGATGCGGCTGATGCTGCTTCTGATGCTGTCTCTGGTGCTGTGGATGGGAGCAGACATTATGCTGCATGTGATGTTACCTTTAAAGATGGTTTCTGCATGCATCTGGAAGCTGGTAACAACACACCATGCCATGCCGTGTCATGCCCGATCACTGCCATTAGCACTGAACCGTTTCTTGCAGATTTCTGACAGCAGTAGGTGCAATCACTGCCAACCTTGAGCAAATTCACAGTTTTTTTTTCTATTTTTTTTTCATCCTTTTTTTTGTTTTTTCCTTGTTGTTTGTTATTTTTATGGCTCGGGCAGGGGGCTTTGTGCATTTGATGCCGGAGAATCCCAAGGAGGACCTCTTTGTGGCGCGCATCGAGAGCTTTCTGGAAGAGCGCGGTCACAAGAGCCTCTGCGTGCGCTGGTGAGCTGCTGCCTCTGCCTCTGCCGCTGCTGCTGCTGTTGCCGCCGCTGCTGCTGCTGCTGCTGCTGCTGCTGCTGCTGCTGCTGCTGCTGCTGCTGCTGCTGCTGCTGCTGCTGCTGCTGCTGCTGCTGCTGCTGCTTTCTTTCTGTCTTTCAACCAAGGGATGCCTTTCAGGCTTTGCTAACGACCGCCAACACTGAATGCTGAAGCGGGTGCGTTCTCTTTGGCGTCTCTCTACATGTGTGTTATATGTTTCCTGTTCTACCTCTATGTGTGTGTCGTGGTGTGTGTGTCGCTTTTCATGCAGGTACTACCGCCTTCAGGATCTGGCCCACAAGCCTCCCACTCCTCCAGAGCCCAACGAGCTCTACTGTACGCCTCTTCTGCTCTTCCACTTACCTTCACTCGCTGATTTATTCTGACAACAGGAATATTGAAGCACCATTTGGGAGAAAAAAAAATCATTTGGTCTTCTGTTCCTCGATTTCGTGCGAGGTCCCTTTTTTCTTCTTCTTCTTCTTCTTGTTCTTCTTGAACCCAGGCCTCACCTTTTGCATGCGACCTTCTGTGCCATGCTTCTTGCTGTCTCTGCGTGTGCCTGTTCCTGTTCTTCTCCCTCTCCCTCTGCCTCTGCCTCTGCCTCTGCCTCTGCCTCTGTGCAGACACCACATACTATGACGTGCAGCATTTTGAAGCAGTGTGCCGGGAGCCATGTGCGATGGCGCATGCTGGCACCCACAGCCTCAACTCCCAGGGGTATGGATGGGCCCCTTCACTCCTCCCGCCCCCCAACCCCCACTGTCGCTGGATGACTCGTTACACAGCACTTGCTTTCGTTGCAGCTTCCTGTGCGGTGCACCTTGAGCTTGGGTCAATGGATGGAACGCGTTGGCATGGCACTTGCTTTGCTGACTGACTGCTTGTTCTTTCATTGAAACTCTGCCTGTTTGCCCATCAACCGTGTGTGTCTCTGTGGTACGATGGGTTGCAGAGTTGAGGAGAATGCGCGATCCTATGTGTGCAAGTATGTATATGTATCGGAGAAGGGAGCTTTCCTGCCCATCAAAGGAGGTACGCAGCTTCCCTTCTTCCCTTCTTCCCTTCGCTCCCTCCTCCAAGCAGTTCCATCAGGTGCATCAATTCTTGAGGGGTGCCTTAGAATAACATCTGGTTGCACCTTGTGTTGGTAGTATTTTAAGAATTCTCACAACGCTCTCTGTTTGTTTTGCGATTTTAGCAGCAAACCTCTCCGACCTTTGCTATTGGTCCCCTGTTTGTGCTGGCCATTTCTCCCCATCTTTGATTCTTCGTGTCCCTTTTTGTACTTATACCATTTTTTGTGCTCGCCTTGATTCTTCCGCTCTTTCGTGTCGATGCTTCCTTACTCCAGCTGAAGCAGGAGACGGCACAAATCAGCGGCAGCAGCAGAACGAGGAAGAGGAAGAGGAGAAGAAGCCTCCTTCAGACGCTCTCCTTGCACGTGGTAAGTCCGGCTTGCGGTTTTGTAGGCCAAACAGAACTTACATTCTGACACGATGTTGTAGCTTCTTTCTTCTCACATGCCTTTTGATGTGTTGTGCCTCCGCCTCCGTCTCTCCCCCCCCCCCCCCGCCTCTGCCCCTGTCTCTGCCTATGTTGGTCTCTGTGCACTGCGTGCATTGCTCTGTAGCACTTTTGAGAATTCTCAAAAGTGATTCCCCCCCCTTCGCCTCTGCCCCTGTCTCTGCCTATGTTGGTATGTGTGCACTGTGTGCGTTGCTCTGTAGCAGCTGAGAGCAGTGGCAGCAGCAGTGGCGGTGGGCTGCAAGTGAAGCCGGGAGTGGCATATGAGATCAATGCATCAGAGCTTCCGCCCAATGCTCCACACCACCTTCGCCTTGCACGCACTGTCGTTGTGAGTCGTTCTGCTGCTGCCGTCACCGTCGCCAGCCGCTGCTGCTGCTGCTGCTACTGCTGCTGCCAGCCGCTGCTGCTGCTGCTGCTACTGCTGCTGCCAGCCGCTGCTGCCTTCGCGCTTGCAGCAAAGAGGGTCTCGCTCTCCTAATCTGCTGCTTCTTTCTTTCTACTTGAATTGAACGACGGACTCTGGCTTGCCGTTCTTCCACCAACGCTGGCTTGGCGTATTCTGGTTCAGCTACGCTGGTGAACCTTCCACACCCTTGCTTCAGACGTTTTCCTCTGCATTCCCCCGACACTCCACCCTTGTGTGTCTGTCTACCTGTCTGCCCGTCTGTCCGTCCTTTTTCTGCAGGTGTCGAAGAATGAAGGCAACAGCATCACAATCAAGTACCCATCCCCCTTGTCCATTCGCAAGGCCTTTGGGTTCGAGCACGCAGCAAGAGAAGCAGCAGCAGCAGCAGCGAATCACCTTCCCGCCCAGCAGCACCACTACCACGAGCAACAACAACAACAACAACACCAGCAGCAGCAGCAGCAGCAGCGGAGGCACAAGTTTCTCCACAGGGGTGCTGTTAACGGACCCTCTTCCGCAGCCTCTCCTCCCTTGGGTCTGCACCTTGGATGCAGGCCCGACCTCGATGCCTCCTTCACCCTCCCCTCCGCCCTGCCTTCTCCCGCTCCTCAACTCCAGCCTCCCCCGCCCACCACCACGATCACCACCACCAGTGGCACCACCACCACCATCACCTACCCCAGCAGCACCTACCCCAGCAGCACCTCTTCCCTCGTCACCTCTCCACCCACCTCCACCCTGTGTGTGCGGTTGTTCAAGCGCGCTGTGCCGCGCAGTGAGTACCTGCACCAGGCCCACCTGCTCTCCTTCTGGCTGCTGCACCCGCACGAGTTCCCCTGGACTGATGCTGCTGCTGCTGCTGCTGCTGCTGCTGCTGCTGCTGCTGCTGCTGCTGCTGCTGCTGCTGCTGCTGCTGCTGCTGCTGCTGCTGCTGCTGCTGCTGCTGCTGCTGCTGCTGCTGCTGGGGATGCTTGTGTCACGTTTGAGGGTTCTATATCTCCCTGCGCGGCTGCTGAGGAAGAGGGGTGTGGGGGAGGAGAGCAAGGGGAGGAGATCGAGCAAAGGGGGGAGGGTGTGGGGGAGGGAGAGGGAGAGCGAGGGTCTGCTGCTGCTGGTGCGAGAGTGATGGTGAGTGGTGGGGAGGGAGGAGAAGGTGAGATTATGACCGGAGTTGAGTTAGGAAGAGTGGATGGTGAAGCAGAGGGATCAGGGGGGGCAGCAGGGGAGGCATTTGCAAGTGTGGATGAGGCAGCAGAGGCACTCACTCAGCTGAAACCGTGCGGGGCAGTTTCTCATACCCCTGCTCATGCTGCACATGCTACTGCTGCTGCTGCTGATGATGATGATGATGCTGATGCTGCTGATGATGATGATGTTAATGCTGATCCTGATGCAGATGCTGACAGTGATGCTGATGCTGATTGTGCTGTGGTTGAAACTAGAAGTGAAGACGCAAATGGAGATGCGACAATAGAAGCAGAAGCAGACGAAGCAGAAGACACAGCAGAACCAGCAGCAGTTGAAGCCGAAGCAGAAGAGGAGGCGGTGGATATAAGCGCATGGCCCAAGAGAAGGCGGGGCGGAGGGGGCAGCAGGAGCAGGAGCAAGAAGGCGCGCACGGTGGTGGTGGTGGTGGCAGGCAGAACAGGGTCCGGCAACGATGCTTCCAGCCTACCCTCCTCTGCCAGCAGCGGTGAGGGTAAGACCAGCCTCTCACAGTTGATGCTGCCCCATCGCCCTCCCTCCCCATGCTTCCCTCTCTTGATTTCCCCGTCTCTTTTCCCCCCCACTCTGGTTTGAGGAGACCAGGAAGCAACGTGTCGAGTAGCTTTGTCCATTCCTTGCCTCCTTGCCTGCTTACATGTGCTCACCCGTCCACCCTTCCACGCGTCCACCCTTCCACGTGTTCACCCGTCCATCCCTCCATCCCTCGTGCTGCAGATGTGGAGGAGGAAGAAGCAGCAGTGGCGGTGAGCAGGGCGAGGGGGAACGGCGAGAGCAAGGAGAAGGACGCGGGCAGGAATGGCAAGAAGGACGCTCACCTGCTCAAGCTACCCAAGGACATGCAGGGCCGCTGGTCCAAGGAACGGTAAGGGAACCGTGTGTGTGTGTGTGGGTGTGTGTGTGTTTGTGTGTGTGTGTGTGTGTGTGTGTGTGTGTGTGTGTGTGTGTGTGTGTGTGTGCGTGCGAGAGTGAGGATTTGTCTCGCTGCTTGCATGCGGTCTCTCACACCTCACACTGCTCATCTCTGGGAAGCGTGTGAGCACGCCCCAACTCCTGCTAAAGCTGCCCAGGGACATGCAGCAGGACACGCTCTCACAACTCAGATGACGCTGTTGGGTATCATGAGGGCTCTTTAGAGATATTCCCAGCCGATTCTAAACTGTTTTTCTTCTGCGTAAACCTAGTTAAGTCTGCAGCTCGCGGGGAATATGTCTCAAGACATGCAGCAGGACACGCTCTCACAACTCAGATGACCCTGTTGGGTATCATGAGGGCTCTTTTTAGCATCTCTCTTTTTCGCCCACCTCTCGTTATTCCACCCATTCCTTTCAAATGCACACTCAGCTCAGGCACCACACGCACGGTCCAGGTGAAGCGGGATGGGTCCTTTCGAGTGTACACATCGTGTGGGCGGTCGTGCAAGCATGCAAGCACAGGACCCATCCTTACAATGTCCTCTCCCCCACAACCCTCCCCCTCTGCGCACACAGGTACCGCACGGCCCAGGTGAAGCTAGTGGACATCATGCGGGCGCAGGGGGCCAGGCCCGGGAAGCCGATGCTGCGGCCGGTGCTTCGGGAGGAGGCTCGGCGGTACATCGGAGACACGGGGCTGCTGGACCACCTGCTGAAGCACATGACCGACACCGTGGTGCCCTTGGGGCAGCGGTTTAGGCGCAGGCACAACAGCGAGGGCGCCATGGAATACTGGCTGGAAGACGCGGGGCTCATGGCTATCAGAGCGGTGAGCAGGGGTTGGGAGGGAGACGGGAGGGTGTGGGAAGGGGAGGTGCGGCAAGAAGGGTGTTTTGACCTCCTTCCTCCTTCCTCCTCCCACTCACATCCACTCACATCCACTCACATCCACTTACCTCCTATTTACAACCTCCTTCCACTCCCTGCACTCCTCCTCACTCCCTGCACTCCTCCTCACTCCCTGCACTCCTCCTCACTCCCTGCACTCCTCCTCACTCCATGCAGGCGGCGGGCATCAGTGACCCCACGTGGGTGCCCCCACCAGGCTGGAAGCCAGGAGCAGACCCCCATCTGCCGTGCGGTACCAAGCGGTGCCACAAGGTGGAGCGGGATGTGGAGAGGATGGGGGGCTCTGTGTCTTCCATGCGCAAGTGAGACGATGGGTGGCCTCTTCTCCTCTCCATTTCTGGCGCTTTTGTCATTTCCATCTTTTCATTCCTTTCAAATCCTGGATCCTTCCTTTCTTTTTCTTTTTACTTACATGTGGTGTCCCGTCCATCTCCTCCTTGTTCTCCTCCTTGTTCTCCTCCCCCACTCCCTTTTCCCCCTTCTTCCTGCCATCAGAGAGCTTGATGAGCTGAGGCGGCAGGTGGGCAAGCTATCATCCAAAAGCAACAACCAGCAGCAGCAGCAGCAGCAGCAGCAGCTGATCCCCTGTGTGACCCCCTGTGTGAGTCTCAGAAGCATCAAGGTAACGATAAGGGTGAAGGTTTCGGCGGAAGGTTCGCAGAATTCAGCTGCTTGAAACGCTGAGGCTGCTTCTGCTCGGTCTCTCGCTTCTCCCTCGGTTCCATAAGCTTACAGTCCAATCAAACCCCAAACAGGAGTCATGGTCTTTGCGTGGCAGCAGCAGCTTTTAGCAAACTGTTTGTTTAGTGTGTGTAGGAACTTGCTTGGTCTCTTGCTTCTCCCTCGGTTCTATAAGCTTACTCGTCTCAGACCTGCGGTTGCATCGAGCTCACCAATTGCACTAACGATACTAAGCGTCTCTGCCTCTACTGCTGTCTGCTTGCATGGGAAGCAGGTAACGAATGGGAGCATGTGGGAGGCGAATCACTCAGCCTTGCACAATCTGCTCACTAATGTAAGCTTCACTTCTGGTCACGTCACTGCCAACCCACCCCATCCCACCCTCCCTCCCTCCCAAACATCCTCACTGGTCTCTGCTGCTGCTGCTGCTTCTCATGGTGGTGATTGTGGTGTGTGGGGGAGTGGCAGGTATGGGAGGAGCTAAAGCAGCACAACAAGCTGAACCAGCAGATCCTGCTCGCACTCAACACCAGCAACACCGAGTACGTGCCTCTGCTGCCACAGCTTATGCTTGCTGCCGCTCCTGCTGCTACTGCTGTGGATGCTGCTTCTGCTGCAGCTGCTTCTTCTGCAGCTCCTGTTGCTGTTAGCTTTGTTTTCTCATTGCCAGAGCATGTAGCATCTCGAAGCCTTGGTATCATCCAGCTGTAGTGACCAATCCTCCGCCCACCTTACCGTTCCCTGTCACTCCCCCACCCCCCTATGTGCCCCTGTGTGCCCCCTGCGGCTTCCATGTGTGCCTCACCCGCTATGTGCGAATGACACAGGGTACTGGATGCTATCACATGCCAGGCTGCTAAGTCCCTGACTTTTGAGTCGACTCAAAAGTCACCTCGTTTCCATGTGTGCCTCACCCGCTATGTGCGAATGACACAGGGTACTGGATGCCATCACATGCCAGGCTGCTAAGTCCCTGCCTGCCATTCTCGCCGCTGCTGCCGGCACCCTGCTTTCTCTGCCCCAATCTGACCTCCACGCCCCCAACGCACAGCAGCAGCAGCATCAGCAGCAGCATGTGCAGGGGAACACCAGGAGCAGCAACACCCTCCCTGCTCTTGTTCTCCCCCAAGTCTCCGCTTCACTGCCGGTGCAGGTACCATTTCATTTCACCAAGCACTGATCACATGCACCAAGCGCCCTTATTCCTTTCAATATCTCCTCTTCAGACGCACTGACAATGCAACAGGCAGCACCTTTTTCTCATCAAGATCTCGCTTGTCACTGCAGGAGCAGCCCTCAAGTGCATCAAGGCACGTGAATGGGAGCGAGAAGCAGCAGAATGACCACCAGCCGTTTACCTCTGCTGCTGCAGATGTGAAATCCCTGCTCAGGAGCAACACTCAGCAGTCAGCAGCAGCAGCAGCGGCGGTGCATAGAGTGGCACATGCAGCTACACACGGCAAGACACTTGGGCTGCTCAAGCTCCCTCCTTGTGTCGCTCAGAACCCCCCCCTTTCTAGACTCCTACCGCAGTGACCGGATCCCCGCTCACTATCCTCGTACCGTAAGCCTAGGAGTCATTTGCTGTGTAGTTTGCGTGTGTGCGTGTGTGTGGTATGCGTGTTGAATCACGTCTTGTAATGCAGATACGGTATGTGTGAAGCCCACAAGGTCCAAGTACTATTCTGGGAAATGTAATACCGCGTATCTTTTGCTGAGCACGAGTGGGTGGGAGCTTTCTATATGTGCAAAAACAGATGCAGAATCCACACTAAAAGGGCATCGTTCACACACTCAATTTGACACATATCTCATATCAACACACCGAAATGGGAGCACACAGCACAAGCCATTAGCCTTCAACCATTAGCCCTGCTGCACACAAGCACGATCAACTGTACTGCACTGCACATACCACATATGTAACACACAATGAATTCTGTGCACACCACTCCAAACCGCACTCAACACCACAACGACCACCACTCTATTCTACAAGCTCGCTCCTCCGCCTCTGCTGCCGGTCAGGTGCCTTGTTATCGTCCGGCCGCATCCGAAAAATCGTCCGGATAGCGATACCGCAAGTAGGCGTTTGGCACGTATCGCCCCGCTCTGCACAGACCAAGGAACCGAGACAACGCCAAAGAACATCCCGAATGAGACAGAGACTGACCGAGCAGCATGTGCGAGGAGCAGGAGCAGTCCTGAGACCATGTCAAACTCGAGAAGTTCTCTCAGGTAGGTCAGTACCACCCGAATCTAACCAGCTGCCGCGGACCATGCAAAACACGCAAAAGCAAGGACAGGAGCAAAGGCAGCAAGTACCTGGGTCCAAACTACCAACGATAAAAGTTACCTTTCTCAGGCTTTCAAGTACCTGAGTCCCAGGAAGTAGGCACCCAGCTCTTCATTGTGTACAGGCCCAACTTCAGGTGACGGAACAAGGTTCTCCTGAGGCACTGCACGTGACAGAGAGCGGAGCAGACACAGGGAGAGAGAGAGAGAGATCGAGAGAGATGAAGAGACGTCGTGCTGAAGGTTGCAGGCCCTTGCATAGCTCCAGTACATGAGAACTGTGTGTTGTATCTGATCGCACGTATCATATAAGAAGGTAGGCTGGAAAAAGACAGTTGGTGGGTGAAAGGGGAAGAGAGGGGGCTGAAGCAGAAACGTAGAAAGGAAGGGGCTTTAAGCTGCAAGCACACGTTCGCAAAGAGCCAGTCAATGCGAGACGCACCATAGGTGGTGTGGTGAGGGTGGTCTCTGACGTCCACGAGCAGTCGGTAGAAGGGCTGTACACGCCCCAGGCGTAGCTTGTCCACCTGTGCCCCCCACACAGCACAGCCAGCACCAGAGAAAGGGACACACACAGAGCAGAGGGTGATCCCTGACGTCCACGAGCAGTCGATAGAATGGCTGTACATGCCCCAGGCGTAGCTTGTCCACCTGTGCCCCCCACACAGCAGCATACATACGGCCACCACCACCACCATGCAGCCAATAAGTGGGCGCACGCATTGATCACAGAGAAGCAGACGCACATAGAGGGGAAAAAAACACGCATATGAGGAATGAAAAGTCATATCACGAGACAGGACAGGGGTGCGTCTTTTAGAAGGACCCGGAGCTGCAGCAGCTAGGCTGCTGCAAGCAGACACTGCACGAGCGAGTCTCAAACACAAAGCCAGCATCTGTCCGCCCGCCCATGTCAGGAGGTTGGTTGCTCACCTGCATTTGCGCTATCCATGTCTCGTCCGCGGTGCAGCAAGGGTCCCACCCGAATACAATCCCCCGATACCCGAACCGCCGGTGCCGCACTATTGTGCCCACTCGGAATGCCAGGTCCGCTGGACGGGGCGTGAAGCGCTCGTTGCACCACAGCTGGATGAACGCACAATGAAAAAACGGGGTGGGGGGAGAGGGAGGGGGAGGGGAGAGGGGGATGGGAGAGGAAGGGTGGGACTTTTCAGTCTTTTGAGTCTACTCAGCTGGATGAAGCGTGAGGAGAAACAGGGGCGGGAGGAGCTGAACGGGGAGTGGTTAAGAGAAAGGAGGGGAGGGGAAGGAGGGGGGGAGAGACAACAAGTGCGGCAAGGCCATGCCGGTGCATCTGCTGCACATTGTCCATAAACTGCTGCTGCAGCAGACTGGCGCATGTGTGCATCCGTGCATTCATGCTTGTGCTCTTACCTCGAGCTGCCTCTGAATCTGCTGCGCATTGTCCATGAACTGCTGCTGCAACAGACTGGCGTGTGCGTGCATCCATGCATTCATTCATGCTTGTGCTCTTACCTCGTGCTGCCTCCGCATCTGCTGTGCGTTGTCCATGAACTGCTGCAGCAGCGCGCGCGGCACCGCGCCCGGCACGCCCCCCTGCTGCCCCGACGCCTGCAGCAGCACGTGCAGCTCTGCGGTAACCGCGTCAAAGTCAGGCACGGTGAGCAGCAGCTTCGCCTTGTGGAATCGCTCGCCCACGTCGCTGGGGTTCACGGCTAGCAGCAGGTCCAGGAGCGGTAGCAGGCGCCTCTGTGCGTCCCTTGATGGTTGTGTCCTGCCGTCGCCGTCCGCCTCCCTCTGTTAATTGTACGGGAACAGGGGGCAGGGGGGAGGGGGCAGGGAGGGCAGCACAGCAGCACGGTGAGCAGCAGCTTTGCCTTGTGAAAGTGCATGGAAAAGGGGGGGCTGAAATTCGGTGGGCAATGGGTAGAGCATAAGCATAGTGTGCGCATGCATGCGTACGTACGCACGCACCTGTGCGTAGATGGCAAGGAGGTTGTTGCACATGCGGACGAGCACGGCCTGCACGCCCACAGGAGCCAGCAGGCGCGGGTTGTACTCCAACCCCATGGACCTGCACGCAACGCAACCAGGTAGCACGCAACCGGGGGTGGGGAGGAGGAGGACAGAGCAGACTGAGGGCCAGGAAGGGAATCGGAGAGGGGGGTCAGAATGGGGGAAAGCGGATGGGGGGTTTGGACAGGAGGCGGGGTCGGGGGAGAGGTGGGGGGAGAGGTTCAGGAAGAAACGCAGGGGGAGATGACGGGGGAGAGCGCACCTGATGAGCTGCACGCACTCCTCGCGGTGCAGCAGCCGGCGGTTGAAGCAGTCCATGAACCGCTCCTCCATCTGCCCGTCCTCGCCCACCTCGGTCAAGAAATGCAGCGGGATCCCCACCATGCGCACCGGGATGCCGCACGCGCGCCCTATAGCAGCATGTAGCACGGCCAGGCTGATGGGGATGCCTCGCCGCGAGTCCAGCACGTCGTTTATGTACGAGTTGCGCGGGTTGTAGTAGTCGTCTCTGTTGCCGTCTAAATGCAGACACTCCGGGTCCTCCTGTTCGCGCACTTGGCCTGCCGCGCCCTCCTCCTGCTCCTCTTCCTCCTCCGCGCCCTCCTCCTCCTCCTCCTCGTCCTCTTCCTCCCCTTCCTCCTCCTCCCCCGTCCCATTTTCTTCTTCTGCCCCCTCATCACCAGCAACAGCAGCAACAGTAGCAGCATCAGTCCCACCAATTGTAGCAGCAGCAGCAGCAGCAGCAGCTCCTTCAGCCGTGCCTGGAGTCCCTGCTGCTGCCTGTTCTGCAGCAGCCTCCCTGCTCCTAACATCCGCCTCGTGTCTCGCCCGCGCACCTCCAGCTGCTGCTTCCTCTGCTTGCGCAAGCGCCTGCGCCTCACCTGCTTGCCGCTGTACAGGCTCCTCCTGCTGCTGCTGCTGCAGCTGCGGCTGCTGCTGCTGCTGGTCCTGCTGTTGAAGCTGCTGCGGCAGTAGCAGCTGCTGATGCGGAGGTTGACGCTGCTGCTGCTGCTGCTGCGGCTGCAGGTGCTGGTGTGGTGGTCTGGGCTGCGCAGCAATGCCTGGCGGGCCGAAGAGGAGTCCATTGAGTAGTTGCAGAGCAGCCACAGCACCACGGGGAGTAGACGGGCCTCCGTACCGGCTCACCCTGTCACAAACACAGGATTTTTGAAAGATGGGAAGAAGAACGTGGGGGAAGGGGAGTGGACAAGGGGGAACAGAGAAGGGAACACAATGACCATACAAAATCTCCAAGAAAAGCTTTAACGGGCAAGAGCAGAAACATTTGCAACAGCGCAACTAGAGGGGGCAGACAATACATGTGCAACAGCGCAGGGGTAGAACAGACTTTAGGCAGGCTGAGGGAAGGAGAGTCACTGACAGTGGGCTGCTGGCAATGCGTGTACGCAGAACAGCAGCGGTATCCACGAGGCGATTCAGGACTGCGTCCGTGTCCAGGTCGCGGTATCTGCACGGCCGAAACACAACCGGGGCGAAGGGGGAGGCTTTTGAGGCGACTCAAATGTCATATCGATTCAAGACTGCGTCCGTGTCCAGATCCCTGTATCTGCACGGTCAAAAACGACGGGGGCGGCGAAGGGAGGATGGGAAGGTGAGAGAACAGAACACATAACGGCAATGACAACAATCAAGAAAAGTGACAGAGCGACGAAGGGCGAGTAGAAGAGGCGAAGAATCGAGGAATGGTGACGAGTACGGTGTGGAAAAGTGGTGTTTGCGGGGGGAGGGAGAGATAGCGGGAGAGAGAGAGAGAGAGCTGTGAGCGGGGCGGTGGCATGATGACAAGGGACGCGGGCCCGCCAGTACCTTAGCTTTGCCACTATCAGCGCCCCACGTGCTATCTCGTCTTCCAACTGCGAAGTACATACATGTAGGGGAAAGGAAACAAGACAAAGATCCGCATTTAAAGAATCAAGGATTCAGACCTGGGGGAGTCACTCAGGAAATGAAGTGCACAACAAGAAGCTGGTCCAGACACACACGCCATCACCACACACGCCAACATCAGCACGTGCAGGAGCAGGAGCAGGAGCAGGAGCAGGAAAGGCGAATCAAGAGCAAGAAGAACGGGAGCAGCAGGAGCAGGGGCAGGAGCAGCGAAGCAGGAGAAGCAGGAGCAGGAGCAGCTGAGTAGGAGCTCGAAGAACGGGAGGAGGAGCAGGCGCAGCGGAAGAGGCAGGAGCAGAAGCACGAGGACGGGGAGCAGGAGCAGGAGCAGCAGCAGGAATGGCAGCACCAGTCTCCCGCAACACCAGAAGCAGCAGCAGAAGCAGCAGCAGCAAGGCTCAGACGGCTAGACGGCGGCGCTCCTCACCGTGTGTGGCGGCAAGCGGAGGAACCGTTTCATATCCAGCACGCATGTGCGTGTGTGCAGGTGGTGCAACGCCTCTCGCGCAAAGTACCGAGTCCCTGCCGACAGAGCATCTCCTGTCTCCGCCAGCCGTTCCAGTTCCTGCAGCAAGGGCACAGGAACAGGAACGGGAAAACATGAATGGGAAACAGGAATGGGAAACACACTCACAGCCACACAGCAAAACTGGAAGGAACACGCGCGAGCAAAAAAAAAAAAAAGGGAAAACGGATGGTATTGACTACCAAACCGTACCGTACCTCGACAACAAGGTTCCCCAGCTGCAACACTCTCCTGATAGCCTGCGGGCGCCGCAACGGCCACGCCATATCCGCCAGCACCCCTCGCACCTCCTCCTCTATCACCACTCTGAACCGAAACACCGCCCGCCATCCCCAGTGCCGCGCTCTCCGCGAACACTCCTGCCATCCCGACCTCCCGTCGCTCGTTTCGTCGTCGCCACCCCCCTCGCGAATCCACGCCTCGTACACCTCCCTCATGTCGCCTGCTCTGCCCGAGCCCGTCGCACTCTCCATGGCCGACGCACCGGCAACTTGTCCCAACCGCTCGTCTCGGATTAGCCTCCCCGTGCCCTCGTGCCATGCCTCTTCTCTCCTCGAAGCGGCGCCTGAGAACGGAGCAGCCGCTTCAGCGGATGCAGTCGCAGTAGCAGTCGCCCCGGATGCTTCCCTGTCGGCTGAAGCTTGAGCCGGCCTGAGGTGTGTTGCGTGCGGCTCGTGCGTACCGGCACGCAATGGGCTCTCCTCGGTTTCCTCTTCCGCAGAGCCCGCAGGGACATCTCGTCTCAGCGGAGTCTCGCGCGCACTGGTATAGCTTCTTACGGTTCCACTCCAAGGGCCCTCTCTACCAGGCTGCCTACTAGCGAATTCCGCCGCGCCACTGACGGCCGGCGACGGGACGGAGACGGCAGTCTGACGGAACCTCTCTAGCCTGTCTTCCCGACTGAGAAGCGATCTACTGCTTCCGGCAGCGGCTGTCCGGGATGATTGTTCCGCGGGAAGCGCGGAGGTAATGGCAGGGTACCTGTCCCACACGCTCCAGCGCTTGACGCATATGCTCTCCCAGATGGGATCTGCGCACGATACTCGGTGCCACAGCGTGCTCACTCCACCCACCCTGAGCAGCTCGCGGGGTCCGAGGTACGCGAACACCTGCACCACGGAACAAGAGGGAAGATGCGAGCCGATTATGCTCGCGAACGTCCTTGTTGCATGGTTGGAGGATAAAGTGCATATTGTACGCGTCTCCGCACAAAAACTAGGCCTTGCACAGAGCTAAGTCATAACACGGCAGGCGGGACGCCTGAGTAAGGGTATGGCGTGGAAACTGAAGGTACACTACAAGGAACGGAACAGCAAATCTTTACTTTTGAGCCGCTAAAAAAATTGCAGCACTAGCTGCTGGTAGAGGAGACGCTACAAGCAACGCAAAACGTCAATCCCTGTCTACAAGCTGGTAGAGCTACGAAAACTGAAGCTAAAGCATCCGGGGAAGCTAAAGGAGCAGAGAAGTTTAAGCAGCAGGGAAGCTAAAGCAGCAAGGAAGCTATAGCACCTGCTGCAGGAGCTCGTCTGGCAGCTGGAGACTGTCATGAAGCTTGACTGCTGCCATGTTCTCTATAGCAGCAGCAAGCCGGCCTGCCTCTGGCGACATCTCAACGGTCAACGCCTGTCTGGCGCCCCCAGCACCCTGAGCATCGCCAGGCAGCTAGCTGTTGTGGAGGAGTGTTATTTTTTAAGTGGGATGAGGAGCAGAGTCCTCTTTAACCGCTTCCTGGCATGACTCTGAGAGCGCGGCTTCTAAAGAAACTAGTGGAAGTTTAACCCCCCTAGTGAATGAAAGCTATAAGCTCCGACCCGTGACGCTCTAGCTACGGAACGACTCCGTCAACGTCTCGTGAGGTGGAATAAAAAGGAGCCCTTCACAACTGTACTACAGCAGACCCCTCCGCTACTAACTTCTGTCCTAATGCATTTGCACTAGCCCATGGCTCCTGGTCATGACGAGCAACGAAGCTTGACAAAATACGTAAAAAGAGACGACGATGGCATCTGTGAACAGCTACGGTACCACAGAACCTCAGGCTGGGCAAGGTAGTGTAGTAGTGTACTGATCCTCCTACCGCACCCAGAATTTCCCTGGTAATTCTGAGGATAGGAATGAGATTTCACACTCAACGCCGGCGAGATTCGCTGACCCTAATCTGCCCGCTTGCTGCGGTGCGATGGACGGATCAAAAGTGCTCACCAGGAGAAAGCATGTGGCCTATCGCGCTCAGCTTGCGAAAGCTGCGGCAACATGTCACGTGGGACTCGGTTCGTCAGTTCGACTTGGGAACAGAGCTTGCATCCCTCAGCAGCAACTAGGGAATTCCAACCCAACATCTGTTGGCTAAGCTGTGTGCTGCGTCTGAAAGGCTTGTAGAACGTTTGCTAGTGGTTCTTGTAGATTGAGATAGGTTGGGAAGGTGGATACGCTAATGAAATTGGTAGTGTGTTGATGAGGCTAACCTAGATTTCCGCTGGTGCCAGCATCTGCAGATAGCATTCCTCAGCGCATGTAGGGGTTCCCTTGATCCCCACCTGATCGCGATGGTACCGCATTGAAGCTCCCTATTGGTCCACGAGATCTTGGAGCCCATCATGTGTGCCCCCATTCTAAAGTTCCCCATGCGTACTGTATTCCACTGGCGGCGAAAGACTAGACTCATCTGCGGGCGCGGACACATCCTCCGCGCCACGCTTCTTCATGTTTCTCGAGAATCGGGCCGCGGTAAATTCCTACGTGGCAGTCGAGCCGAACTTTACATGTGGAAAGAAGAGTCAGCTGCTGGTTGAAAAGCTATGCAGCGAGTGATTGAAGCGAAAAGATCACCAAGAGTTGCCGGATTGGCTGGACGCGTAATCCCGAATTTGGAAAAATCGAGGCATGACCCATCCAGTTGGTCTTTACTTTTCCGGGCATTCATCAGCATTCCTTCGAATGCCAACTGGAATACCGGTAACACCTAATCTGAACAATGTTACAAACAAACACGAATGCAGCCACCCTAAAAAGTTCCTGCTCTTGCAAACATTCCCCACACCAATCTAAAATATTCACTGAATATTAACTGTTCTTGCTCTGAATTCTTACCATTGTAATATTAGTGTGGTGGAGGATGCAATCCAAAGCAGATATCTATGCATGCATTGAAGCACACACACCAACACAATCACAAGCACACACACACGCACGCACACTTAAGCACACACACAAACATGAACACGCATGCACGGACACACGTACGCGCAGGCGCGCGCGCGCGCACACACACACACACACACACACACATGAAACTCTTGCTACACATTCTCATGGCTAGCTTGCCATGCTTGCTGTCAGTACTCGGGAGTTCGATGGAGGCGAGGGCTGTTCTCAGCTGGCAGGCAACTAGTCTCTCGCAACAGTGTAACTGCCCACTGAAGCATTCCCGCACCCCTGCAATACACCATTACAAATCAGAAGGATGGGACGGCGATAGATCCAGAGGCTGACATATGAGCCATTAGGACGCGGCACCTCCAGCACCGATCCTGCGATCGATCCTGCGCAGGATCGAATGTTTTAGGAGTTTTAAATGATTTCAAAAGCTTTAAAGACTTTCAGCAGGATTTCAGTACAGTTGAATCAGCGATCCTGCGATCGATCGTGCAAAATTGCTTGAGGTGCCGCGTCCTTAAGGTTCAAAGACTTGACAACGTCCTGCTGCATTCTTACAACGAACACGGCAATGTGGTTGCTTGGAGGGAGGTGTCAGCACGGTCAAGGGTTGGGAACAGCACTGGTGACGCAGGCATGGGAAGGAACATAACCGACGACTAACCTTGAGGTGATTCCAAGGGAAGTGGCTGTACAGCCAGGTCGGAGCAGTGCCAGAGCCAATGTCCTCTTCGCTTACACCGCCCCTCCCCCCTCCTCCCTAACATTCAAGGCACCCTCCTAGCTCACATCAGCGCCTGAATCCATGCATAGAATAACAGACCAGCACACAAGAAGCAGGGAAATACAACTGACTAACGCGTGGTGCACCAGCCCGGCAATGAGCAGCAGTGATGCAACTAACACAAGCAGCAGCAAACACAAGCATAACTGACTGGGACAAAAGCAGGTGATACAGGCGAGCCCATGCACTCAACCTCACCTAAGTTGACTTTCTCACACACCTGTTAAAGCTGGCCTGATACAAGTAATTATCCTCCACTGCTCCTCCCCATGCTCCACTTGCTGCTGCTGGTGCTGCTGCAGCGGCGGCTGGAGTAGTTGGCCCACCAGTCTCCAGAACTGTATCCATGCCCATGCCTAGACCGATACCACTGCCCGAGCCACTCCCCGAACCACTGCTCCCAGGCCTCGCACTACCAGGAATCCGGGGCGACCTCTGAGCAGCCGAACCAAAGCTCATATTGTGCGACAGAGCATTCGTGCTCGCACTCTTATACACAACCCCGCTACCAAACCCGCTGCCACTCGCACTCCTCCTAAGCTGCATGTGCCCACTGCTCCTCACGTCCATCCCTCCGCCCCTGCCCATGCCCCTTCCAGCCCCGGCACTCCCTGGCGATCGCAGCATGCCGCTCACCACCCCCATCACCCTGTCCCTATCTGCCGTTGCGGCCGTTGCTAGTGTCTCGAACCGTGCCTTTTCTCGCAGAGCCCTATCGAAATATGCCCCACTTTCTTTCTGCAGCCCCTCAAATCGCCCTCCTGGCGTCAGCGCCCCCTCAAAACGCGCCCCTGTATATTGAGCCCCTTCAAAACACCCTCCTGGCGATACTTGCACCCCTTCAAACCGCGACCCTACTCCTGCTCCTCCTACCCCCCCTCCTGCTCCTCCTGCGCCTGCTTGCTCCACCAGCGCCAACAGCCTCTCCACCTCTACCTGCAGCCGCCGTTCCTTCTCCTTCCACTCCGCCTCCCTCTTGCTCCGACCCGCCAACTCTTCTGCCAGCTTCTCCTTGTCCTTCTTTAGCTCTTCCTCCCACAACACCACCTCCTCCTCTCGCCTCTCCAGCTCCTCCTCCCTCGCCTTCATCCCCTCCTCCTTCGCCCTCACCTCTTCCTTTTCCACCCTCACACCCTCTTCTCTACCTTTCATCTCTTCCTCCTTGGCACGTATCACCTCCTCTTTAGCGCTCACTGCATCTCTCAGTGCCGCCATTTCTCTCGCCTTCTCCTCGTTAACAACCCTTGCCTCAGCCACTTCAGCAGCCTGCTTCCTCACTCTCTCCGCCTCCTCCTTCCACCACTCCACCTCCCTCTCCCGCACCCCCAACGCCTCTATCCTCTCCTCAAACTCGACCATCCGCCTCACCACCTCCTCCTCCTTCTTCCTCACGCTCTCCATCACCATCCCCATCTCCTCCTCCATCTTCCGGACCTTCTTCCCCTGCTCTTCCACCTCTCGTCTCATCCCTTCCAACTCGGCCTCCTTAGCAGCATTCGCCACCAAACCCTTGGCTACTCGAGCTGTAGCAGACTGCACTCTCTCCATCTCCTCCTCTAGCTCCTTCTCCTTTTCCGCCTCTTTCTTTCGCAGCAGCGCCATCCGCTTGTCCACCTCTCTCTCTTTCATCTCCACCTCTCTCCACCGCATCTCCACATCCGAGCTCCGCTTATCAGCCCCGGCCTTGGCTTCCCTCCGCATCTCTTCCATCCTTGCCGCTTTATCCATAACCTCCTTCACTCGCTTCTTCACCTCCTCCTCCTGCCGCTCTAACTCCGCCTCCCTCCTCCTCAGCACCTCGCCCATCTTGCTGCTCTCACACCCTCTCTCCTTCATTCTCTCCTTCAGCTGCCCAATCTCTTTCTCGAGCCTACTAACCTCTCCTCTCAGCCTCTTCTCCGCCTCACCCCTCTCAGCTTCCCGCACAGTAAGCACCGCTACCTCTTCATCCGCCCGTTTAACCTCCTCCTTCGCCTTACTCAACCTCTCCTCAGCTCTCTCAACCTCTTCTCTCAACCGCTGCACTTCCACCGTCAGCCTCTCACTCTCTGCCTTCGCCTCCTCCTCTGCTTCCCTGCCCTTACTGCTCACAACATCCTCCACCTCCCTCTCCCTCCTCCCCACTTCCTCCATCTTTCTCTCCACCTCCGCCTCCCTCCTCCCAACCGCATCCTCCCTCTGATCCACCAGCTCTCGCTTCTCATCCAGCTCACACGCCTTCTCTGCGTTCGCAGCAGCCATGGCCGCGAGTCTATCCATCTCCCTTCCGAGCGCCTCTGACTCTGCTTCCACCCTCAGTTCCCGCACCACCAGTGCCACCTCCCTTCTCTTCACCTCACCCAGACCCTCCTCCACTTCAGCTTCTCTCCTCTCCAGCTCCTTCTCCTTCTCCTCCTGCTCTAACCTCTCCTGGCGCACCTTTTCCCGCTCCTTCTCCCATTCCTTCTCCCTCTCCCTCTCCTTCTCCCGCTCCCTCTCCTCTCTCTCAACGGCCGTCCTAAGCTCCTCCTCGGCTGTTTCTTTCTGCCTGATCAGGTCCTTCATCTCAGCATTAGCAGCAGCTATGAGCGCCTCCATTTTCATCATGACACACTGCTGCCGCTCCAGTTCCTCTTCCAATTCAGCCACACGTGCTACTAACCCACCCACTTCCCCACTTCCTTTTTCCTGGTTCTTGCAAGCTGCTGCGTCTACTTCTTTCCTCTCCCGTATCAGAGAACTCTCCCGTTCAGCCACAGCCACGGCCTTCTCGCGCGTTTCCACTTCCTCCAGCAGCCGCTGCACCTGCTCTGCCCGCGCCTGCACCTCCTGCTCCTGCCGCTCCACCTCCTGCCGTCTCCCCTCCACCTGCTCCTCCCTCTCCCTCACCTCCCTCCTCGCCTCCTCCACCTCTGCTTCCTTCTCCACGTTCCCAGCTGCCCCCTTCGCCACCCGCCCCATCGCCTCTCTCATCCCCTCCATCTCCTCCTCCACCTTCCTCTCCCGCTCCTCCACCTCCCCTTCCTTCGCTGCACACTCAACCTCTCTCTTCCTCACTTCCTCCTCTCTCTCAACCACTAGCCTTTCCCTTTCAGCCACCTCCACCTCCCTCTCCCCAGCCCTCCTTTCCAACTCCAAAACCCTTCCTTTCACCGCGTTCTCCTCTTCCCTCCCCTTCTCCTCCTCTTCGTCTCTCAAATGCTCCTCCCTCCGCGCCACATCTTCCTGTCTCTCCATCACCATGCGAAGCTGCCTATCCACCACCTCCTCTTTCGCCCGCACGCTCCTCTGCGCCGCACCCACCTCCTCCTCTCGCTTCGCCACCTCCTTCTCTCGCTGCCCCACCTCCTCCTCCCTCCGCTGCAGCTCAGCAGCCCTCACTTCCTCCCTCCTCCCCACCTCCTCCTCTCTCTCCTTCACCCCAGCTTCGCGCCTCTCAACATCCGCCTCACGCCTTTCCACCTCGGCTTCTCGTCCCTCCAACTCCGCCACTCGTCTTTCCACCTCTGCCGCTCGTTCCTGGGCCTCACTCAGCAGTACCTCTGCACGAACCATGTCTCCACACACCCGCACTGTGTCTTCCTCCACTAGCCTCGCCCGTGCACCCACCTCCTCCTCTCCCGCCCTCACCTCCGCCTCCTTCACATACACCTTCTCTTCCCTTTCCTTCACCTTGTCTTCTCTCTCTGTCACCTTCGCCTCTTTCTCCCCCACCTCCTTCTCTCTTCCTTCCACCTCCCTCTCTCTCTCCCCCACTCTCTCCTGCCTTTCCTCCACTGCCCTCTCCCTCTCCCCCATCGCCGCCTCTCTTCCCTCCACCTCCAGTTCTTGCCTCTTAACCCTTCCCTCCCACTCCACGAGCTCCCCTTCTCGCACATCCATCTTCTCCCTCCTCTCTGTCAACACACCCATCTGCTCCTCCATCCCACTCGCCTCCCTCCCAACAACCGCTTCCCGCTCCTTCTCCTGCATCGCCTCCTTCTCCCTCTGCAGTTCCTTCACCTCTTCTTGCAGCTGCAGCTCCTTCTCCTTCCAATCCGTCTCTTTCCTTCCCATAGCTGCTATCACCTCTGCCACCTCCCTCTCGTTCCCTTCAGCCACAGCCACGGCATTCTCGCGCGTTTCCACTTCCTCCAGCAGCCGTTGCACCTGCTCTGCCCGCGCCTGCACCTCCTGCTCCTGCCGCTCCACCTCCTGCCGTCTCCCCTCCACCTGCTCCTCCCTCTCCCTCACCTCCCTCCTCGCCTCCTCCACTTCTGCTTCCTTCTCCACGTTCCCAGCCGCCCCCCTCGCCACCCGCCCCATCGCCTCCCTCATCCCTTCCATCTCCTCCTCCACCCTCCTCTCCCGCACACACTCACCCTCTCTTCTCCTCACCTCCTCCTCTTTCTCAGCAACGTCCCTCTCCCTCCTCCTCACCTCCTCCTCTCGTAAACCCACCTCTGTTTCCCTCTTCGTGACCTCTTCCTTCTCCTGCTCTACCTGCCTCTCCCTCTCTGCTACTCCCACCTCTCGTACCCCCACCTCTCCCCCTCTCTCCTCCACCTCCCTCAGTTTCTCGTCCAAACTCAGCAGCTGCTGTTGCACCTCCTTCTCTCGCCTCGCCACTTCCTCTCCTCTCTCCTCCAACTCCTTCTCCCTCCTCTCCATCACCTCCTCCTGCTGCTTCATCTCTTCCACTTTCCGTGAAACTTCTTCCTCTTTCAGCTTTATATCCCCCTCTCTCCTCACCTCCGCCGCCACCATTTGTTCCTCTTTAAGCTTGATATCCTCCTCCTTTCTCTCCACGGCCCCCTCCCTCTCTTCCACCTCCTTCACGCGTCTCCTGACCTCGTCCGCTTCCTCTTCCACCTCTGCCAATCGACCCTTCACCTCACAGAACCGCTTCTCCACCTCCTCCTCCCGCTCTCCTACTTGCTCAGCGCGTCCCTTGACCTCCTCCTCTCGCCTCTCCACCTCCTCCTCCCTTTTCTTCACCTCCTCCTCTCGTCCCTTCACCTCCTCCTCTCGTCCCTTCACCTCCTCCTCTCGTCCATTCACCTCCTCTAATCGCCTCTCCGCCTCTGCCTCCTTCTCCCCGCACGCCTCTCTCAGTTTCTCCACTTGCGCCAACTCCCCTGCTAACCTCTCCAATTCCCCCTCCATCATTCTCCGCCTCTCCTCGGCCTCCTCCTCTCTCCCCTCCACCTCACGCGTCCTCGTATCAGCCTCCTCCTCGCGCCGCATCACCGCTTCCTCTCGTGCAACCACCTTCTCTTCCCGTCGACCCACGACCTCCTCTCGCCCCGCAACGTCCTCCTCGCGCTTCCCAACCACCACCCCCCGCCACTCCACCTCCTCTTCTCTCACCTTAACCGCTGCCTCCGCACCCCTCACTTCCTCCGCCCATCTCCCCACCTCCTTTTTCTTCTCGTCATTCGCTAGTCGCATCACCATCACCTCCTCTCTCTCCATCTGAACCCTCCCCCGCTCTTCCTCCACCTTCCTTCCATTCTCTTCCACCTCTCTTCCTCTCTCCTCCACCTCTTTCTCCCGCTCCTCCATCCTTTTCAGCCACTCCTCCAGCTCCCTCTCCCTCCTCTCCACCTCCCGCAACCGCATCTCATCCCCACCATTCTCCGCGCCTCTCTCCTCGTCTGCGCGCTTCTTCCCCACCGCCTCCGCCCGCCTAATCCGCCGCTCAGCCTCCCACTCCCGCTGCTGCCCCTGCTGCTCACGTCCTTTCACCACCGCGGCCGTCTCGGGAACCCCGCGCACACCGTGCGGCGCAAGCGCAACCCGCCCACGGCCCCTCCCATGCGCCGCATTCCTCCAAACGCTGCTCCCGCGGCCGTTCCGCGCGCCGTGCTTCCCCGCACCTGGCCTCTCTCTCCCCTTCACTCCGCTCTCGAGGCTTTCGGCACTCCCGTGTAAGCAACCAGCAGCACAGCGCGAGTTTCCGGCGGCTTCTTGTCCAGAAGGCGAGACGCCAAAGAAAATGTCACTACGCACATCCATGGCGCCATTGCTTCCCTCCGATTCTTCATAGGAGAATTCGATCCCGTTACCGTTTGCGCAGTTCTCCCTCTCTCCGCCTTCTCCCGCGGTCCGGAGACCCGCTGTTTCCCCGCCTCCTTCCGCCGTGCTCTCTTCCGCACTCGGCTCCTCTCCACCCCCGTTTTCCGACGCCTCTATATCGCTCTCTAGCACGCGCTCCCTCTCCGCCTCCGCCTGAAGCGCCGCCCCCAGTTCCCGCAGCTCGCGCTGCAGCTCCGACAGCTCCGCGCGCTTGCCCTCCGCTTCTCCGCGGGTTCCGACTCGCTCCGCCGGACGCGAGTCCTCGGGAATGGCGGACTGGGGGGACAGCGAAGTGGTAACGGCTACAGATGAAACTGCTGCTCGTGGAACAGACGATTCTGCTGCTCTACCCGCCGCAGTCCCATCCGTATTATCCCCGCAATCGTCCGCAGAGGCAATTCCGCCGTCTGGACCCTCTCCAGCTGCACCATTTCCGTGAAAAGCGGCATTTTCACCAACGAATTCGCCTGCATTCTCGATACAACACGTTCCACTCCCCGCTTTTGCCGGGACACGAGTCACGCATTCCGCGCTCTCTCGCGCCGGCTTCCCCTGAATCGCGCCAATCATCGCCAGCAGCGCCATATCTTCCGCCTGGACCTTCCCCGCATCTTCCGGGCATGCATGCTCCTGCGACGCCATGGGCTTTAAGGCCATCAGGGGCCCTGAAGAATGATTCCGAAGCACCTCAGGAGGCGTCAGGGGCTCTGCGGCGTGATACTCCGCCAATCCGGCCAAGCGACCGTCGTCCCTTCCGCTGCGATCGCCCTCGTTCTCGGATGCACCCGCATTGTCCACGCCAGATTCATTCGTCGGATTTGTTCCAGAGGGCGACGCCATCTCGTTGCCTGGTGCTCGCTGTTCCTTCTCCTCATCGACCGGAGTTTTCGCTCCTTGTTCTTGTGAAGCCTCGTGGAATGTGCACTTGGTCGGTTCACCAGCCATGGTATCCGGTGCAGTTTCCTCTTCCTCATCGCTACTCAGAAGGGTATTTGCGTCTGTCGCGCCGCTTGAATTCGCGTCCGCCGCACCGCTTGAACCAGCGTCTGCTTCTCCGGCGAAGTTAGATCCTCCGTCTGGCGGCTGCTGCGGCTGCGCGCCTGCTCCCTCACGTGAATTCGGACCGTAGGATTCGTCAACGTGTCCCTCCATGCTCATTTCGGCGTCCGAGTCGCCGGCATTATCCATAGCGCTTGAGTCGTCGACAGGGGAAGTATTAGTCAGGGGGGTTTTGTTATCAGCCTTGTCGCCTACGAGCTTCTTAGATGACCCGTCGGCCGACTTATTCTTTCCAAGCAAGGCCTTAAATCCCAGGACCGCCGCGCCTGCTGCTGGCACCAGCAGAACGAACGCCATAGATATTACCGCGGGTGATGCTGTGCGAAGACGGATGTGGAGCCTATTATGCGCAAAGAAAGGGTTAAATGCAAATGCTGTGAACGTGCGACGATTATTTTGCTGACGTGTGCTCTCATGTCGACTCCGCCAGCCAACAATCCCGCTGTAGGCCGGTTTTACCTCACACCAGACTGTCCTTCATCTGAAGAGAAGCACATCCGAGAAAGGACTAATGAGGGATTTGACATGAGACATGACATGACATTTCTACAAGCCAGACACAAGTCGAAGTGGTAGAGAATTTGCTAGTGAATGCAATGACAGCACTGGTGGGGGGGTTATCTGGTCGGTGCGGGTGCGCTGCTTCTGCTGCTCCTGCTACTGCTGCTGCTGCTGCTGCCTTGGTTTCTTCTGTTCCCCCTTCCCCTTCCCCCTCCCCCTCACCTCGATACTTCATCTAGCCTTGATTCTTCCGCTTTCGTGTGATCTGTGGTGCCTGGGAAGTGAATGTCGTCGCGAATCCGACTTTCCACCGTCGATCCTAACTATCGAACGGCTTCCAAGGCACAGAATCCCGAAATGCAGTGAGCTGGATTCATCGGGGGAGATGGCAGAGCGCGCGTGAGTCAGACGGAGGAGATTCATTCGCGTCGGATGCACACCATATCCGAGAAATGTATCTGCCGAAGTCACGAGGACAGAAGCATGAATGAACGACGATTATCGAAATTGAACGACGTTCGCACAATGTATGCAACCACTGGTGTGGATGCGATGCGATGACTGGTGTTGTGGCCTTGCAGACAAGTGGACCGACGAATTCTGCTTTGGCGAAAAAGGGTGACCGACAAAGGCAAATGTGCTCAACTCTGGAAAAACGTGGTTACCTGTCCTTTGCCAAGCTGTAAGTCAAGGGCGGCTCGGGCTGTAGTTCTAGGGCAATCTGTGGCCAGGGTTGAACGGTTCACCTTCCCTCACCTGGCCTGGGACCGGCTAAGCCAATTGGAGTCGCCTCGCCCTCGTGTGGTTGGATTTCCTTTGGGGGGAAACACCGACACGGTGCAAAGCTCCCTTGACTGACCTGGCCCTCAGTAGCTTCAGCGTTAGAAAACTCGCTATCCGTCCACAATCTGGAGGGTGTACCGAAGGGGTTAGCTATTATGTAGTGGATGTTACATTGTGTGAAGCAGTAAATCTTCTCACTTTTGCAGATCCAGTAGAAAAGCTTGCGCAAGAGCCCCATAGAAAAGCTTGCAATACTGTACCTTTGACAACGCTCCCGCTGCTACCGAGGATTTCTGCCCAGCACGATATGTAGTCTGGAGCCAACACGAATGCCTTCCGGGTGGACTGAGTGATTGCGCAACGATTCAATTTTCCACGAAGATTGAGGAGGAGAAAAGCGACGTACAGACTCAAAATAAGGGCGAATAGTAGGGGACGCTAGTGGAAGAAGTAGGCGGGGGGTTACGGAGGATCCGAAGGGAGAGGTTTACGTACGTGCCTTGGCGAAAGCTCGTCGCAGGACACGTCTTGTCGAAAGTTCATCTCCACCGGCCACGTTTGCGTTGTCGTCAATCTCTGCCGCCGCTTGTCCCACGCGTGTCAGCTTCGATCGGACAGTCGGCCATGGTGTGTCCCTTTTGCCTGTATCCCTCCCTACGTTCCTCCACAAGGATCCATTTCCGCTGATTTATCACGACTGATTGCGCTCCCCCAACCCCAGTGACTGCCTTGCACTTCCTGTATGTCGTTTTTTTTCTCGTCTACTCATGCCAGCCCAACCATTCCTCGCACGATCCCCCAAAATCTCGTTGATCATGGGCCAAGTCTCTTGATCCCCGTCCACTCCCACGCATTGTCTAAACCAACACCATCCTTCAACCCCTTTCTCCCAACCTTCCCCCACTGCTCGTCCTTCCCACTCTTCTGTAGTTGCTATTCTCCTCCTATTGAAGCCACCACCACTTGCCTCTGTGTTTTCCCCTGCACGGCCCTCCCTTCTGCCTCCCCTCCACCAGTCCGTGACCCTGCACACCAACTTGGGAGATATCAAGTGCGAGCTCTTCTGTGACGAAGTGCCTAAAGCCTGCGAGGTAATGCACATGCACCTCAAGCAAGCCGCATCTGTCAGCTTTCCTTCCCTCAAATCAAATTCCACCAGTGCCCTCCCTCTCTTGACCTATAGCCTTGCTATACCATCTGCGAACCCCCCCATCCATCTCCATGTTTCGGCATCCATTGCTGCTTCTATTCACAAGCCCGTCCCAATCAGAGGTGTACCTCTGTCCATTCCTGCCTTCCTCCTCCTACGCTTTACCCGTAGCTTCATATCCACACATGCATGCGTGCCGGTATGCATGTATGCGTGCAGAACTTTCTGGCATTATGTGCGAGTGGCTACTATGACAGCACCATCTTCCACCGCAACATCCGTGGATTCATGATCCAAGGAGGCGACCCCACTGGCACTGGCCGCGGGGGTCAGTCCATCTGGGGCGGCAAGTTCAATGATGAGATTCGCGAGACCCTCAAGGTAGGCTCACGCTTATGTGTTTGATTGTTTCTTTTGTTTCTTTTTTCTTTTCTTCTTCTTGTACTTTAATCTGTTTTGTTGCTTCTCCAGTTGACTCTTGCCATCCTTAGCCCACTTGCTAGTTTTTCTTCTGCCCTTTTTCTCCACTCCACCTTTCCCCCTCCTTGCCCGAGCAGCACAATGTGCGTGGGATATTGTCGATGGCCAACAGTGGGCCCAACACGAATGGGAGCCAGTTCTTTATTTCATACGCCAAGCAGCCGCATTTAAACGGGCTCTACACCATCTTCGGCAAGGTCATACACGGATTTGACGTACTCGACCTCATGGAAAAGGTGAGATGAGGCCACCAGAGCAGATGTAACTATGAGTTTTTGCGCTTGCATGAGGTGTAGCGGTTTGCAAGTGTGCAAACACTAAATCCCCCCTCCCCTTTCCGCTCTTGGTTTTTTGTGCAGACAAAGACAGGTCCAGGGGACAAGCCACTTGCAGAGATAAGAATCAACAGAGTTACAATTCATGCTAATCCTTTAGCACTCTGATATGTTGGCGTGTAATTTACAATGTTGCGTCAGCTTTTGTAAGGTGCTAGGCTATGTGTTTTCATATAGTCGCACAAACGCATAGCCTAATGGAAGCATTGTGAGAGGTCGGGCCCTTACAGTAGCACATGAAGGTTCGCAACCTGATTCGCTTACAATCTTGCCGACATCATTTCCTGACCGAATCGTCAGAACCCAAACCAGCTACGTGGCTTTCGAGGTGGTTCGGTACTTGCTCTGAACATCACTGTCAAACTGTAATTCTCCAATGAGCAGCGCTCTTTCTGGTTTGGTGGCCTAATCAGGTCCGGGACGCGTCACTACACGCAGGACCCATTCCATCGACAGCTGCCCCATCCAGTGTCATTGTGAGACTGTTCTATTTTACTGACTGATGCATTCGAGGCTGGCGCCGAGGTAGGAAAATTGAAGGTATCGGGCGTAACAACTTAGTGCTGAGGTATATGTCGAAATGTAAACCAATCCGAGATGAAATGCCAATTGAGAAATCCCCTTTAGAACCAGCTTCTTTCTACAATCGTCCCGCCTTTCCGGAATTCTCAGTAGTTCCTCTGGTTCGGATCTCCGAACCACCACCAACCACCACCATACCAGGGGGACCCTTCTCAGCCGCTTCGGCGTGCCGCATCAGTCGAGCGAGGCCTTCCCTTCCCTTTCCACAAACAATCACCTCCCCGAATGATGGCTGCGAGTGTAGAACAAAAGTGGATCTTGCTTGACGCATCACATCAAGGTTAGGGAACCATCGTGACAGTAGTACATGAATCACGTCTGTCTAGCTGGTAAATTATTCACGATCAGCAAAATCTTTATCCGGAGGAAAATTCGCGTCGTCGCGATCTTGTACGCGTCGTTCGGAGTCTCGTCCGCCGGCGAAATTATCCCCGTCGGTGCAAACCGTGGTACCGTGACGCGATGGCGTGGCAACGTCGTCACCGCGGGCTGGGTGCCATTGTCACCGTCGCTTGCTTCTTAGCGACCATCTCGCTGTGCTCAGGTATCCTTCCCTCACTCTTCCTTGTCCGTCCTGCGCTCTTACTCTTCTCTCGAAGCAGGATCGATTCCCGCTGCCTTTTTTGCCTCGATCCCTCACAATCAGCCTCCCCTGCTTTCACAATATACATATTTGTTTGTCCGCATGATCCGACTCCTCTCACCACGTGAACAACTTGCCCCTTCCCACTCCCCCACCACGTCTCCCCTATTCCCCCTCTCCACCCGCCGTTTCTATCCATCCTTTCTCCGCCAATTCCGCACCTCCGCAATTCTCCCTCTTCCCCCTTTACCCCTCGCCCGTCTTCCCCGCCCCGCCCCCCACCCGCGCACCAGGCGGCATACCGTACAACGTGACGCTAGCGAGCGTGACGCTGTTCCACAAGTACAGCTGGTTCACGGCGCCCGTCGTGTACCTCTCGTGCGGCGACCCCTTCCTCCCCTATTCCAACCCCTCCCCTCATCATCCCCACCCCCGCTTTCTCTTCGTCCTTTCTCCCCAAATTCTGCACCCTGCGCGTCTCCCCCCGGTTTCCCCCTCCTCTTCCCCCCACTCCCCCGCCGCCGCCCCCGCGCCGCTCGGAACCCCTCTGCAACAGGCGGCATACCGTACAACGTGACGCTAGCGAGCGTGACGCTGTTCCACAAGTACAGCTGGTTCACGGCGCCCGCCGTCTACCTCTCGTGCGGCGACGGCACCGGCGGCAACCGCACGGAGCTGCCCGGGGTGAACGCGACCATGCGGTGGTTCAACTTCACGGGCAACGAGTCGTGGCAGGTGCGCGCAGGGCCGTGCGGCGAGGAGGGGGTTGGTGAAGGGCGTGGTGTGGGTGAGTTGAGGGACGGGTGAGCCGCGAGGCGGGTGAAGGGAGTGGCGGGTGAGGGGAGGGAAGTTGATCGGGGAAAATTGAGGGGGTGTACGTTGGAGAGGGGAAAAAATGGGCGTGCAAATGCGAGAAGTGCGAATCATGGAGTCGCGTGAACCAATAATATCACAAACAAGTACTTTTAAAAGCTCGTGCCGTTACAAACTTGGTCAGAGGAGCGGCAGAGGAGAGGCAGAGGAATGGCAGAGGAGTAGCAGAGGAGTGGCAGAGGAGTGACAGAGGAATGGCCGTCTAGGCGCTGAGATGAAGAGTGAACCAAAGCTGACAGCATTAGCGAGGGAGGAAGGATCTCTTGCAATTCGTGAATTCCAACTTGCCTCCCTTCCCCGGTATTTAACATGAGGAAAGGAGGGAAGAGATCAAATATCACCCCCTCGCATCCGCCTCCTCCCCGCCTCTCCGTCCACTCCGCTTCTCGCACTCTTATTGCACCCCACCCACCCCACCCCACCCCACCCCACCCCACCCCGCCCCGCCCCAACCCAACCCGATCCACCTTGCCTCTCTCCCGAGTGCGCTTCACGTCGACTCAAGACTTTTCCCTCCCATGGCACCCTGGCCCACCCTGGCCCACCCTGGCCCGCCCTGGCCACACCAGGCTGCCCCACTCCGCCCTGCCCCGTCCCGCCCCGCCCCGGTCCCTTTTCCTGTCACGTGGCTATTATCCCATATTCTTCCCCATGCTCCCCTCCCCTCTCCACCCTTCCCGTCCCGCCCCACCTCTGCACGCACGTCCCCTGCCAGTGGCGAAGCTGCATTGGGAGGAGTGCACGACCTGCGGGCTCCACTCTTCCTCTCCTCACACACCTTCTCCCTGCTGCTCCTCTCTTTCCGCTGCTTCCTTCCCTCCCTCCCCATTCCCATCAGCCGGTGGCGAAGCTGCACAGGGAGGAGTGCACGACGTGTGGGCTGTACGAGCACGAGTGGCTGGGCGATGCCATCATGGGACCGTGTGTGCACGGAATGTGGTGTGGGCTATCCTGTCCCTGAACACCCCTCTCCCCTCCCCTCCCCCCCCCCCTCCCCTCCGTTCCCTTCACCTCCCTCCCTCCCCGTCCTGTCCACCTCCCTCCCCATCTTGTCCGCCCCTGCGCGTTCTCAGCCGGTGGCGAAGCTGCACAGGGAGGAGTGCACGACGTGTGGGCTGTACGAGCACGAGTGGCTGGGAGACGCCATCTACGACACGTGGACCGTGTGTGCCGCCAACTTCAGCAGCCGGGACGAGCGAGGCATCTTCACGCACGTCATTCCCTCCCGCTTCCACGTCAACCTCGCGTGCTACGAGTGCAACCACGCGCAGTTCCAGCGCAGCTCGGCTTATGGTGAGTGGGGGACTGGACTGGGCGGGGGATGCACGGGGGATGCACGGGGGATGCACGGGGGATGCACGGGGGATGCACGGGGGATGCACGGGGGATGCACGGGGGATGCACGGGGGATGCACGCGGGATGCACGGGGAATGCACGGGGGATGCACGGCGGATGCACGGGGGATGCACGGGGGATGCACGGGGGATGCACGGGGGATGCACGGGGCTTGTTAAGCAAATTGCCAGCCGCTGGATGCTGAAAGGGACACTGGTTGGGGGCGTGGTCGTGCCCTCGTGCTTCCATGTCGACCTCGCATGCTACGAGTGCAATCACGTGCAGTTCCAGCGCAGCTCGGCTTATGGTGGGCAGCGGGGGGAGGGGGGGGGGGGGGAGGTTGAAGTATGGAACGCAAACAAAGATAACCAAATGGTGAACCCACTTGCACCCACGTGTACCCATCCCTTTTCCCCTGCCCCTTTCCCCCTGCCCCTTCTCCTGTTGCTCTCACCAGGTGCCAATGCAGCGGAGGGCGGGGCGGGGAGCATGAGCGTGTTCCTGTGGATGGGGCTGGCGGTGGCGGGCGCAGGGCTGATGATCCTGCTCATCGCTGCCATCGTGTATCTCGTCACCGAGGCCGACGAGCTGCTAGATGAGAGCGAGAAGACGCGCTTCATTGAGATGGCGGAGGAAGGGCATGAGGGTGGGCATGGAGAGGAGGGGGGTGCGGGGGGGCACGAGGGGCGGGAGGGGCGTGGTGAGGGTGGGGAGGGGTATGAGGGCAGTGGTGGACAGGAGGGGCGTAATGGTAGGCGCGATCGATACTCGGACGAATCTGGGCCGTTGAAAGTCTGAGGGAGGGAGAGAGGGTGGGGAAAGGGGGAGAGGAAGATATGGGAAGGGGGGGGGGGAGAGAGAGAGAGAGAGAGGTGGATGCAGGAGGCGGTTAGAGTTTTGAAGGGGGCTGTAGACGGGGCGGGGAAGAACAAGGGGAGGGGGTATTTAAAGAAGCTTACCTATATTTATAAGAAGCGCATCTTGCTCGCCTTGAATCTCGTCCAGATGCGCTGATTACGGTACCGTTTGTACACTCAAGACAGGATACTGGTACTACCCGTCATCGCCCAGATAGAAGACAGTGTTGAATAGTGTCAAGAATAGAAGTGTTGGTGTCATTGATGTGAGTTGGGGTACATATAACAAACCCTAACCTTTGTACCCCTTAAGACAAACCTCACTACCAGGGTTGATTTTATCAGGGTAATTACCCTGATTTCAGGGTGATTTCAGGCTTTCCACTTTGCGGAGACTGAGATTTCAGAATTACTGAGTTCTCAACCCTGTTCAAATCAGAGTAATAGTTTTCATATCCCTGATTTACAGTATAGTGTAACAGACTCGCCTGTTAGTGGATCCTGACTTAATAGGGTATCGAATTTGTGGTCCCTGATATCCTTATCGAGAGGAAGTTTCTTGGAAATTTCCGTACGATATCCCCCTTCGGATTGATTGCAGTACAGCCAGCGCGTGAGCGACGGACAGCAGCATGTCTGACAGTCGAGTACACTCGATGTTTGTTGTTTTCACGAATTGCGAATAAATTGCTCTACTGTCGCATTTGCGTCTGCGTGAAGTTACCAGAACTTATTTGCTTTTCGCACAGCGATGTTGGCGACATTCAGGTAATCGGCGAATTAAAAACTTGACACATCTGTGGTATCGAATCGAAATGTTAAAACGTGTGGATAAATACTAGTTTGTAAAACTAAACGGGTGGAAATTAGCGCGCTCACGGTGTGCGCGAAACACAGAGCGCAGACTTTACGCAGAGCGAGACTTTTTCCCCTGTAACAAAGGGTGTGTTACTACTCTGATCTTCGTTTCTCGACCCTGAACAACCAGAGTTATATACTTTTCAACCCTGAGCAATCAGGGTAGCATCATTCTGAAAAATGTGCACTCATAATTGAGGGGAAAATTTTTCCCCGGAATCAGGGAGGCCTAATATGAAACGTCAGCCCTGCTCACTACAGGTTACAACATTTGACACAACCCCATAGCCTAAGTGAGGGGTGTCTAGCAAAACCATAAGTGTACGGTCACAAGACCAGTCACAAAGATACAAAGCTCAGGGTGGATCACAACGTCACCACACATTCTGAGCACAAGCAACAGTGGCCACAAGGCCAGTCCAAGAGTTCACAAGTGTGTATAGTAAGAGTACAAGCAAAGCAAACAGTAAACTCAAGCCTATACACGACTAGAACCTGTGTCAACAAGGCCTAACTGCACACAACACCTCTGGTGGTCACAAGGCGGAAGCGCCTTGGTGAAGATGTCTGCAGTGTTGGCCTCAGACTCCACAAACTCGAAGCGAGCCTGTCCACGTCTCTGCAACTCTCGCAGAAGGAAGTACCTGACCTGAATGTGCATCACTCTGCTCTCCAGTCGCGGCTCACGACAGAGGAGAATCGACGCCTTGTTGTCAGTGAACAAGGTCGGTGCAGAGCTCGGCCGCTCACCAAGGTCAGCGAGCAAAAACGTCAACCAACGCAGCTCCTGTGCTGCCATGGCACCAGCGTAGATCTCAGCCTCAGCTGTAGAGGTCGAGACTGAAGAGGAGCGCGTGGACCGCCAGGAAACAGCTCCAGAACCTAAGCTGAAACAGTACCCCTGAGTAGACCTGTGAGTCTCAGCGTCGTCAGCGTAAGAAGAGTCACAGTGACCAGTAAGTACGACAGGCTGCTGCCCACCAAGAACTAGCCCCACGCCTGATGTCGTCGCTAGGTACTTCGCCACCCTCACAGCTGCCGTCCAGTGAACAGGACGGTGCCTCCCTGGCGCAACAAAGCGAGCAAGGACGCTGAGAGGGAAGGCGAGGTCCGGGCGAGTACAAGTCATCAGGTACATGAGGCAGCCCACTAGCTCTGCGTAGGGACCACTGGACTCAAACGGCTCGTCAGGAAAGGGTCCAGTGAGTCTGTGGTCAACAGCAAGAGGTGTGCGCTGTACTGTGGAGTGCTGAAGCTCGAACCGCTGAAGGACCTGCTGCACCATGTGTGACTGTGAGAGTGTAATGGTGCGAGCAGCTCTGTCCCTGGTGATCTGCAGGCCAAGGTAGTGACGCAGCTCACCAAGGTCAGTGCACGTGTGTCTCTTCTGCAGTTCGGACTTCACGTCGGCCAAGGCAACCCTGTCAGCAGTGGCGAAAACCAGGTCGTCGACGTAGACTAGAGCAAAGAACGGTGTGGAGCCACGACGAACGAACAGCGACGGGTCGGCAGACGAGGGCTGAAAACCAAGGTCAGCGAGGGTAGAACGAAGGGTGTCGTGCCACTCACGAGGAGCCCGATGGAGACCGTAGACCGGTCGCCTCAGCCTCCACTGGGTCCCAGGAGGGAAAGTGCCAGTGAAGGCAGAGGGACGACGCAGCCAGACCTCCTCGTGTAGGCTACCCTGAAGAAACGCAGTAGAGAAGTCGAGAGAGTGTAACTCGTAGTCTCTCTGTGCCGCTACGTGCAGTAACACCCGAAGAGTGGTCATCTTCGGGGTGGGCGCGAAGGTCTGAAAGAAGTCAACTCCCTCGCGCTGACTGAAACCTCTAGCCACGTAGCGCGCCTTGAAGACCGGAGGAGATCCCGGTGGCCGCTTCACCCTGTAGATCCATATGCCATCGACTACGTTCGCCCCAGGGGGGGGAACTTCGTCGACGTAGGTGCCTGTGGATCTATAGGAGGCCATCTCTGCGTCCATGGCAGCTCTCCACTGAGAGGCCCAAGGCCCTGACACTGCCTCAGCGTAAGTGCGAGGAGTCGGTATGTCAAGCGCGTCGGGGTCTCCCTCAGGGGCGATCAGCATGGCACAGAGATGAGGGGAAGCGGCTGCCAGGAACTCTAGCTCAAACTGCCTGTCTTCTAGGGCGTCACAGCCAAGGGCAGACAAATAGTAGACAGGGGTTGTCTATTATCCGGATGCCTCTTATAAACTGGCTAGCCTCAATGTAAAACACCTATTTGTGTGTACGAGTTGAGCCAGTGCAGGGGTTAGGGGCAATTGTATAGCGAGGAGGTATCTTCTAAACGTTTCTTTGTCCATTTATAAGACTTATAAGACACCCTGAACCTTCCCAGATACAAGATAACCCAAGCATTTTGAGTAGTGTATGAGATAAGACATACATGTCTTATATCTGGGCGATGACAGTACTAGACGTTGAGTGGAAAGCTGGGGATGGGGGTGCTTGTTGTGGTTTAAGGGTATATTCCTGCGGGAACACTTGTGTCTCAAAGCCTTTGTGACGCGTAAAAACAACATATAACTGTTAGAATCACTAGGCTTAGGAGCCTAGGGTAGAAGGAGAATGACGAGAGAGAAGAGGGTTTCACTATGGAGAGGGTCACAACATATAGGGTAGGAAAGGGGGTACACCACCAAACAGGATATCACGATAACTACACTAACGCTAGAACTACATGCAGTTATAACAACATAATTCTGACATCCCCCCTTAACTGCATGCAGGAATAGCAAAGTGCAGAACACAACCTGCAGGTGTACTCAAAGCAACAGCACGCAAGAGCAATGACAACCAGTGCAATAGTGGCAGAGACAGCTGCAGTAAGCCCTGAGGCAAGAAAGAAACAAAGAGAAGGTGCATGTGGCGCAGGTAGCCTGGAGAGCAGGTGCGTGCGGCTAGAAAGGGTGGCGGCAACGCAGGGCTCAACGGCAACGCCTGCAGCTCAACAGCAAAGAAAGACGAACGAAGAGAGAGTGGCGTCAGGGGCTGCAGCTGTAGGTGCCACGGTAGCAGCAGGCGGCAGCTGCAGATGCATGGCTGCTGTTTCCGCCGATCTCTCTTACCTTCCATTAACCTCTCTCATCCCCCCTGAACCGCTCTCCCCCCCCCCCCCCCACAGCACCAAGTGCTGCAGGGAGAGAGGAAGAGGGAAGGGAGGGACGGCCTGCTGGTGGTTCACACCCGCCACCCCACGTCTCCCCCTCCCCCCCTCCCCACGACGGAAGTCGCGGAAGGGAGGGCGGGTGGGGGGGGCGGCGGTAGCTGCTGCTGGCGCGAGCGCTGGCGCCTGGCGCTGGCGCAGACGTTGGCGCTGGCGCTGGGCGCAGGTGCTGGCGCCGGCGGTCCGCGCTGGCGCTGGCGCTGGCGCTCGCGGCTGGCCGTGGCGCTGGCGCTCGTCGCTGGCGTCCGCGCAGGCGCCTGGCGAGGCGTTGGGCGGGCTGCGCGCGGTCGAAACGGGTCGCGCATCGACGGGACAGGCTGCGCGCGGGGCAGAACGAGCTGCGCTTAAGGGAAAACGGGTTGCGCGCAGGGGAAAATCGGGCTGCGCGCAGTGCAGATCGGGTAGAAAAGCAGGGTGACGACGGGACGGGACGGGCAGGCGCCTCGGGCGCCTTAACGGATGTTACAGCAGCCATGTCTTAAAAAAAAATATGAACTTAGGTCCTTAGGAAGAACCTGCTCTGTACCATGTTAGAATCACTAGGCTTAGGAGCCTAGGGTAGAAGGAGAATGACGAGAGAGACGAGGGTTTCACTATGGAGAGGGTCACAACATATAGGGTAGGAAAGGGGGTACACCACCAAACAGGATATCACGATAACTACACTAACGCTAGAACTACATGCAGTTATAACAACATAATTCTGACAATAACGTACAATGTCTCAAACGCGAATCGCTCTTGTGCGATTGTTACTGTATTTTTCATTGGTCAGCGTGAAATGCGCTGACGAATTGTAAACCGACTCCTCCTCCTCATGGCTCCTGGCAGTGGCAATGGCAAGGGAAAGGAGGCAAATGAGGAGGAGGAGTTGGAAGAACCAGAGACTAACTGCAGTGATGATGATGAGTAAATGAACCCTCTATTGCTGATGCTTGCTAGCTAGTTAGTGTTATCTTATTTGAAGTTCAATATCAGCCTTACTTTTTTTTAAGGTAACACTGAATTTTCAGGCTTTTTTTTGGGGGGACACTGACGATCAGGGATTCTACACAGAGGGACCCTGATGCATTGACGTGCCTAAAAGTGAATCATAGGCCCTGACTATGCGATAATTGCATTGTCGAATCATAAGCTGCGCAGCATCATCGAATCTGTGGAAGTGGTTAATCAGGATTTTCATCAAAGCTTAAACCCGCGTCCCAAATTGCGGACCGCGAGGGTCAAGTTTTTAAAACTTGACGAAGCTGAAAGTTACGCACTTGCAATTTGGGACTTTCGAAGACAGATTCCCTCCAGGGGGGAAACCGAGGGAGGGTTGGCTGGGTCCCGCGAAAAAAACGAACCTAGACGAAATTGGAAACTCTCCCCAAAGCCCACACCAGAAAAACTACCTCTGGTCAACTTTTAAAAGCATGAACAATGTGGGCCGCCGGCTTTAAACACACCCCAAACTGTCAGTCAGTCTAACGGTAAGGTTGTTGCATGACCATACCGACTGAGAGCAATTGAATGATGGTTGATGCTACTATTCAGGCGAGGTACATGGAGGGAGCGGACCTGAGAAATGCTACACGTAGTGGTATAGTAACACCATAATTCCATCCATCATCATACGCAGCAGCCACTACAGTGGACATGGTACCAGTAAAGCTTTTGGTACAATGAAAGAATTGGCTGCAGATTCGAAGTCACGGTCCAGGATGAGCAAACGGGCCAGTGAGTGAATGAGTGAGTGAGTGAATGAGTGAGTGAGTGAGTGAGTGAGTGAGTGAGTGGGAGGGTGGGTGCAAGTAGGCTCCACAGGGTGAAAGACTTTCAGATCTTCCAGCGAAACCAATCAACCTCATCCCCTCTCTTCAACCCGCTCTTCCTCTTCCCTGCCTCCTGTGGTGTCTGCACTCTTCTTCTCTGTCGACAGAACTGCCCAAGGCAAGCCCCAATTCCTCCCTCCCTCTCTCCTTACCTTCCCTACCCCATCTCAAGCTGTTTCTTCTTACTTTCCGGCTGCTCCTCTCCCCACCCCATCCCTTCCTTTCCAGCACTTCCACCACCTCCTCTCGTTCACCACACCCCTCCATCCTTCCCTCCACCCAGCATGCGCTGCAGGCAGAACAGCTCGCCCTGCCGTCCTGCTGGCAACGCTTCAGACCCGTGACTCCCGTCCCGTCCACCACTTCTCCTCGTTCACCACACGCCTCCATCCTCCCCCCCGCCCAGCATTCGCTGCAGACACAACAGCTCGCCCTGCCCCCCTGCTGCCTCCCTCCCTCCTCGCCTGTCAATGGTACGGATTAACACGTGCCCTCCAGCTGCCCCAACTCTTCCAACCCCATTTCTTACCTTCCCCACCCTTCCCCTCCCACATCCAAACCCCATTCTTACGTTCCAGTTTCCCACTTCCTCCTCCTCCATCCATTCCCCTCCCGTTCACCCCTTCCCCTCATTCACCACACGCCGCCATCCTTCCCCCCACCCAGCATGCGCTGCAGGCAGAACAGCTCACCCTGCCCCCCTGCTGCCTCCCTCCTCTCCTCATGACACACAGCCAGATGCCTCAGCAGCACCTCCAGCACCGCTCTCAACCGTTCTGGAGGAAAAACACCAGCAGCGGCAGCGCCACCAGCAGAAGCAGCACCAACAGCTGTATCACCGGCTGCTGCAGCAGCAGTGGCGGAGGGAGGGGAAGCGGTGGGGATAGGTGGGCAGTGGAGGTCGAGAGAGAGGGGGAGAGAGATGTCTAGGAGATCCATAGGGGTAACTGTCTCCCCGGCCGCTGCTACCGCTGCCGCTGCTGCTGCTGCTGTTTCTGCACCTTGTGCGACTGCTGCTGCTGTGGCTCCTGAGACTTGACCTGGTATTCTCCCCACTGCCCCTGCCAACGACCCACTCGCATTGCTGCTGCTACCGGCTCTGTCTGACATGGCAAGTGCATAATCCCTCGAGTCCAAAGCAGCCTTGTCAACAGCACCCTCCCCAGCACTACCAGCAGCACCGGAAGCACCAGTAGCACCACCAGCAGCAGCACCAGCGGCAGCATCAGCACCAGACGCGGACATATCAAGAGGGCCGGACGGGGAGAGCAAGGAGGGAGGGGAGGGAAGGGAGTGGGTGGACGAAGCAGCAGCGGCAGAGAGGATTGCGGTGTTGACTTGGTCTGCTACTGCGTCTCGATGCGAGGGGTGCAACAGGTACGCGAGGGGGCTGGTGGTGGCGTCCGGATATGCCAAGAGCGCAAGAAAGTCCTGTGAGTGAGTAGCAAGGGGGGGGGCGGGTGAGGGAGATGTATTTTGAGGCGCCTCAAAATAGGCGAGGGGGCTGGTAGTGGCGTCCGGATATGCCAAGAGCGCAAGAAAGTCCTGAGTGTAATAGGAGGTGGGAGAGCGAGGTGTAAGGGGCGAGTGAGCGAGGAAGGGAGAGGGCGAGAGATGAAGGGAGAGGAAGCATGAAAGAGAAAACAAAGGGGCGGGCTTGAGAGGGAGAAGCAGGAAGAGAGGGGAGTGGTGGCCGACCGCGTTGAGGGGTGTGTGTGTGTGCAAGAGAGAGTGTGAATGAGCAGTGCGGGTGCAAGTGCAGGTAGAGTCATAGCACCTACTAAGTCTGCTCTCACATACATGCTGCTTCACTCCTATGCTCCACTCTCACCTCCAGTAGCGCGTCTTGGTCCGGTGAGCGGCCTCGGAACCCTGAGAGCTCCGAACGCGCATACGCCAGCGCTGCTTCTAGCGACCCCGACTGGGGTACAGCGGAAGGAGACACGGGGCGGGGCAAGGAGGGGAGAAGAATGCAGGTTGCTCTTTAGAGATTTCAACAAGACTGAGGGAGACACGGGGCGAGGCAAGGAGGGGAGAAGAATGCAGGTTGCTCTTTAGAGATTTCAACAAGACTGAGGGAGACACGGGGCGAGGCAAGGAGGGGAGAAGAATGCAGGTTGCTCTTTAGAGATTTCAACAAGACTGAGGGAGACACGGGGCGAGGCAAGGAGGGGAGAAGAATGCAGGTTGCTCTTTAGAGATTTCAACAAGACTGAGGGAGACACGGGGCGAGGCAAGGAGGGGAGAAGAATGCAGGTTGCTCTTTAGAGATTTCAACAAGACTGAGGGAGACACGGGGCGAGGCAAGGAGGGGAGAAGAATGCAGGTTCTGAATGCGGATATGCCAGTGCTGTCTCTAGCTACCCCGACTGGGGTCAATACAAGCGGCGGGACAGCGGGGGAGTGGAAACCAGGAGGAGAGAAATGGGGAGGGAAATGAGGAGGAGGGGAATGGTGACGAGAGAAGTTTATGTGGAAGTGGAGGAGTGTGTGTCAACGGAGCAAATGGAAGGGCTGAGATAGGACACAGGAGTGAGTAGGGAAGGAAGAGAAGGGGAGTGAGGGAGTAGGGGAGCTATTGCAAGTTACACATACCCGAACGATCTCTGCAAACTTGGTGGTTCGGAGAAGAAACGTGACTCCTGCACTATCGTTCTGTGGTTTGGGTGATATGATATGGCATGTGGGGAAGAGGAGGTTGAGAAGCGGATGAAGTGGGGTACTGCTTTTGAGTCGACTCAAAAGCAGAAGTGGGGCACAGAGGGGGCAAGCTCAATAATCTTGGAGACACGGTTGACTTCTATATTTATTTCCGATACAAGTCAACCGTATCCTGAGACTTCTACTCAACCGTGTCCTAGAGATCTTCAACAGCTGAGTGCAGCCCGTGCACATGCCATGGCCATGCACTTACACATGCACTTGCAGATGCACATGCATACACACACGCACACACACACACAGGCACACACACACACACAGGCACACACACACACACAAGCACACACACACGCACAAGCACACACACACGCACAAGCACACACACACGCATACGCACACACACATGTGCATGATTGTTGCGGCCCCTCAGAGATCTTCTCAGCTTTTAGGTGCCTCAGAATTCGCCTCAGATCGTCACACGCACATGCACACGCACATGCACACGCACATGCACACGCACATGCACACGCACATGCACACGCACATGCACACGCACATGCACACGCACATGCACACGCACATGCACACGCACATGCACACGCACATGCACACGCACATGCACACGCACATGCACATGCACATGTACACGCACATGCACACACACATGCACACGCACATGCACATGCACATGCACACGCACATGCACACGCACATGCACACGCACATGCACATGCACATGTACACGCACATGCACACGCACACACATGCCCTTGACCATGCCCATGCCCTTGACCATGCCCATGCCCATGCCCATGCCCATGCCCATGCCCATGCCCATGCCCATGCCCATGCCTGGCCACGAGCAGCACCTGCAGCAGCTGGGGCAGCACTTCAAAGAGCTTGTTCAGTGCTGCATCCATGTGACCCGCTCGTATCAGCTAGTCAGAGGGCACAGGGCACAGGGTAGAGGGCAGAGGGCAGAGAAGACAGGGAGACAGGAGAGGGGGCAATAGTGAATAGACGAGATGAGAAGTCCACGAGAAGCAGACGAAGATAGGAGCGGAGAAGCAAGGCGACGATAGAGGAGGCGGTGAAGCCAAAGAAGGGGGAACAAAGTGCTTGTCTGCAACAGGCCACCTCCTTGGTCCACTTGTGTCCGCATGCCCACCTGCCCGCATGCCCACCTGTCTGACTTGAGCTCGGAAGGCGAGCGTGCCTGATAGCACAGTGTCCCATGAAGGCGAGCCCACACTAGGCGCCCTTGCCAGCCCTGCTGCTGCTGCTGCTGCTGCTGCTGCTGCTGCTTCTGCTCCTTGCGTTGAGAGCGTGTTGCCTGGAGCTTTTGCACCTGCAGCACCGTCATCTTTGTTTAGACACGACGGCAGCAAAAAAAAGGCAGAGGAGCAGCAGCAGAAGCAGCAGCAGCAGCCGGAGGGGGAAAACCAGCAGGTGAGAAGACAGCAGCAGGCAAAGAAACACATTTATACAGGCACATGGAGAGGATATTCGAGTAGACTAGAAAAATAAGCACATGAAGAAGGAAGCAGCACAGGGGCTGGCTAGTAATACCTGCAGCCCCAGCAGCAGCAGCTGCTGCAGCAGCGTCCATCCCTGTTGGTGCCACTTCCATGGGCTCAGGCCCAGAAACCGTCTCCCTCCCCCTCACACTCCCCTCTGCGCCCCCTCCTCCCACTCCATCTCCCCCACCCGCAGCAGCAGTTGCTGACGGTCGCAGCAGGGAAGCAGGCTCTACGGCTCCGTTTGCAACCCCGCATGCACCAGCAGCAGCAGCAGCATCAGGGGTTGTGGCAGGAGTCGGATTGCTGGCAGCATCGAGGGCAGCAAGCGTGTCAGCATAGCCATGAAAGAGCAGGTATGAGCGCACTATGCTGGGGGGTGGGGAAAGGAGGAGAGAGGGTTGGGTTCATTGTGGTGGGGAGGAGCGGAAAGGAGGGGAGCAGGGGTTCAGGCACGAAGAATGGTGAGGCAGAAAGAGAGTGTGGGTGAGCTGGAAGTAAGCGAGTGAGGGAGAGACGAGAAGAACAGGAGGTAGAGGAGGAGGTGCTATGCGAGTTGCGGCTGGGGAAGCGGAAGAGAAACAGTGGAAGAAGGAAGCGTGGCTGTGACACATGGTGTGTACGTGATCCATGACTAAGTGATACTGGGCATGGCATATGGCACATTTCACACGGCACATGGCACATGGCACATTTCACATGGCGCATGGCACATGGCACATTTCACATGGCGCATGGCAAAGAGAGAGGACCGTTTGAGCAAGAGGGTGGCGTGGCACGGCACGGCACGGCACGGCACCTGTGTGTGATGTGTGGCGACAAGGGGATGCGGTCTATGGACCGCTGCACCTTGGTCCTCTCGTCCATCACCATACCCTGCCGTAGGGGAGGAAGGGAGGGCGGGAGGGCGACAGGCAGGGAGGCAGGGAGGGAGGAAGACAGGCAGCGAGGGAGGGAGCGAGGGAAGGAGGGAGGGAGGGAGATACCCTAAAAGAGTGGTGGCAGTTAAGGCCAGCCAGAGCTCATATAGCAGCTCCCTGAAACAGGAACGACAGGGCCGCTTCTGAGTGACTAAAAAGCATAAGCTCACTGGAACATCGGCAAAAACTAGGTTAAAAGAAGGTAGTGGGAAGACTAAGAGCCGGAGGAAATGACCTGGGAGTGGGGATGGGAGCAAGGTACATGGGAGGTAGTTAGAGGGGAAGAGGAATGTTACCTGAACGTCAAAGAGGAAAGGTTTCTGACCAAAGTTGACCTCCACCCTGGCATAGACGAGAGGCACAGAGGAGGGGCACGGAGGAGAGGCACGGAGGAACAGGGGATGATGTGATGAGGAGGGGCGACTGCAAGTGTAAGTAAATACCGTTCCAGAGCAGGGTGATTTGCTGGGAGGAAGGGGGGAACAAAGCATGTAACAGGGAGCTTCGAAGGAAGGCATAAGCGAGCCGCACGCACACGCCCCCTAACGTGTACACCTCTCACTGAAACAAATGAGGGGCATAGGAGAAGAAACTAACAAAGAGGAAAACAAGCTAACGAACAAACAAGCGCAGCTCTCATCTCACGTGCAGGCGCACCTCTCATTGGGGCTGGGGCTGTGCAGTTTAGAGGCGCCTCAAAACTAACCTCTCATTGGGACGCACCTCTCATTGGGACGCACCTCTCATTGGGACGCACCTCTCATTGGGACGCACCTCTCATTGGGACGCACCTCTCATTGGGACGCACCTCTCATTGGGACGCACCTCTCATTGGGACGCACCTCTCATTGGGGCTGTGCAGGCCAATGGTGGGGAACAGCTCGCCCTTCACATCCCGAAACGCCGGCCCCAACGACTTGCCGTTCTTGCTGCCGGGAGAGAGAGGGAACGGGGGAGGAGGTGAGACACGGCGGGGCACACAGGGAAGGAGGGGTAAGAGAGACGAACAGGGTAGGGCAGAATGAAGAGAGACGAGGGGGGACGAGCACAACAGAGCAACACTGGCTCTGGCCGTGGGGCAGCGAGAGGCAGTGAGAGGCAGTGAGAGGCAGTGAGAGGCAGTGAGAGGCAGTGGCGTGAAGATCTCGTGTGTGCCATCCGTAGTTAATGCCTGCGCCATCTCGTGTTAATACCCGCAACGTCATTGCGCTTTGAGACGTCTCCAACAACAACACAAGAAACTAAAAGTAGACGACGTGTGTCAAGACTGACGTGAAGAAGATCTCGTGTGTGCCGTAGTTGATGCCCGTTGCAGAGTAAAGAAGGATTCGAACCGCAGCAAGCCGTATTTGATGCCCGCGCCCCGCCCACCGCGTCTCAAAACTTGCCTCTGGCCTGGAGCAAAATTGAAGGGCTGTACTCGCTCTAGCACGGTACAAGCACAAACGTGAAGAAGATCTCGTGCGTGCCGTAGTTGATGCCCGCGCCCACCACGTCGTTGGTGGTGAACTCAGGGAGAGTGACTGAGAGGCAGAGAGAGTGACTGAGAGGCAGAGAGGGTGACTGAGAGGCAGAGAGAGTGACTGAGAGGCAGAGAGGGTGACTGAGAGGCAGGCAGTGAGGTACTGAGAGGCAGTGAGAGAGAGGCAGCACTGACGTGAAGAAGATCTCGTGTGTGCCGTAGTTGATGCCCGCGCCCACCACGTCGTTGGTGGTGAACTCGGGCCCGTACGCCTCCCCGCGCCCGCTGTTGTGATACACCTTGCCGTTGTCCCCGTGGTACCCGTAGCTGCTCGCCTCCCACCTGGTGGGGCAGGGGGTGCCCCGTGCGTGCGGGCCGAGATGGGGTTGGAGAGGTGAGTTGATGGAGACCAAGTCAGGGAAAAATAGTGTGGGACGTGAGAGAGATGCATGAGATGAGGAAGGTACCGGGGCAACCTCAATCAACCTGCGTACCTCCCTCTTCCTAACACCCCCAAATCCCCCTCCTTTTCTTCCCCTATCCGACCTCCTCCTCACCTCTTTTCGCCCCTCCCCACCCCTCCTCAACCCCACCTCAACCCCCCTCACCCCCGCTCACCCTGGCTGCCGGCACGTCTTAAAGCTCGCGTCCGCGAAACCAACAAGGTGACTTTTGAGTCAACTCACAACTCACCTCGCTCCCCCTCTCCAGTTGCGCCCTACACACTCACCCTGGCTGCCGGCACGTCTTAAAGCTCGCGTCCGCGAACCCAACGGCCACACACCCGCGCGTGCCGCGGTCCTTCACGACAATCTCGAAGTAGTAGATCGCGCGCTGGCTAGGCGCCGCGCGATTCGCCTGGATGGCACCAACGTCGTTGTTGTGCGTGCCGTTGCCCGTGTACGTGACGCTTAGCTTGTCCTTGCTAAGAAGTAACCGCTGCCCGCACTTGCTCGGGTTCAGCTCGGTCGGTTCCGGTTCCTCTGATTCCCACGGTGATGAATCCCCTCCCTGTTGCTGTTGCTGCTGCTGCTGTTGTTGGCGGAATTTGGCGAACATGGCTCCTCGCCGCGAGTGGCACGCGAGTTTAGTTAATACCAGTGGCGATTTGACGAATTGCGCGTGGCCGAATTTGCGCTTGAAGAATTGCGTGTTTGTGTGGGAAACGGCGTAAGGACAGAGAGCGGGAGCGGGATCGAGCGGAAACAAGAAACACAGCGCAAGACGGTTGGGTCGAAACAGAGATTGTGAAAGAGAGAGGTCGCGAGGAGATACAGCCACCGAGAGAAAGGACAGTCGCCGTCGTAGCAAACGCTATTCGCGATCAGGCTCGTCGTTCTACCAACGTTAGTCGCTATCAGGGTCGGCACGATCACGCTCCTTGCGATCAAGGGGACTCAAGTCGAGACTTATCCAAAACGAATATAGTTCTCAAGCTCGAGGCTTCGAACCGCTCTGCCAGAGGTCTGTACAGTGAGATGAAGAGGATAACGCCTGGTGCGGTTCAGGTTGCTGCGACAACTGCCGGTTACGGACGGATTCTCCGAGGACGTGGATGATGGATCCTTGACACGACGACGCGTTGATCGTTGTGGGAAGGTTGTGACCGTAGCAAATAGAAGAGGGCGTTTGTGGGGCTCATCCGTGGGGGCTATGCTGGGAAAGGAGAGGGAATGTGCTCGCTGATAATGAACGGAGATAGGGCTAAAGCAAATAGCACAATTATCTACGTGTGTTACGCTGTTACTTCTGTACTCTATATTAGATCATTGAAAATTGTAAGGGGCTTTTCTCGACGGGAATTCTGCGGTAGCGAGAGAACTCGTTATAGAATATCATTTTTCGGTGAGGCATACCAGCACTCTGACTTTCAAATATCTTGACAGACTGCTTTAGTTGCCATAACCCCTGCACTGCATTTAGGAAGAGAAACATGACATGGTGTCAACATAACCACAACAGGCTCCAACCAACCATGCATATAAATTGCTTAAATATAAAAACACATATTGTAAACAAAGCATGTCAAAAAAACCACCTGACAAGATAAATCACAAAATAAAACACTAAAATCCTGGAGAAAGCAGCCAGAGACCTCCCAAAACTGAAGTCTTCAGATCCCACTCGCAGCACCATCCACTGGCCAAATTCCCCCCCGCTGCCGTGTTACTGGCATTCACTCCCAACCCACCATGCTGACACAGCTGGATGCTTGAAGCAAGAGAGAGATTCCAGAGAGTCTGCAAACCGGATCCAGGCCCCTGGGTGCCAAGTGAGCTGTGCACAAGTGTGGAGTGGTGTGCCGTGTCAAGCCTAAGCAGCTCACAGAAAGCAGCTTGCGCTGTATGTACACTATGGTGTGGTGTTCTTCTTATACCAGGAGCAAGAGAGGCAGAGAGCGCAAGAGAGAACAGCCGCTTCCTGCTTTCCCTCCCTCCCCCTCAGCCTCTCCCTCCTTTCTCCACCAGTTCCCATGGGGGATGCACAATGTCCCACCTGCCTTCCTTTCACCCCTCGTCACCTGAAGTCAACGCACACCACCACACATCACCCTGATGCATCTCCGCCCCTTCCAGGCGCCACAGGGTCGAAAAACGGGTGCGCCTGAGAGAGAGAGATGCAGGGACAGGAGGAAGGGGGACGGGAGGGGGGAAGAAGAAGGGGGAAGAGAGAAAGGAGGGACAGCTGTGTATGAACAGAGAGAAGAGAGGGGAGAGGAGAGAAAGAGACAGGGAGAAGTCGCAACGAGCACCCACACAATCCAAACAAGCATCCAAAACACCAAAAGCCATGAAAAGCCATGCCTCCTTCCCCACCCCTCCCTCCCTTCCTCCCCCTTCTCCACCCCCAACCCCTCCCCCTTCTCCCCCTCGCACCCACCATGGCCTCCTGGGCAGTGAGGCGTGTGCGGTGGTCGTAGCGCAGAAGCTTGTCTATCAGATCCACCGCCTGTGGGGGCACGTGGGGAGCACGAGGAAGACACGTGTGGGGGACACGTGTGGGGAGGGGAACAAGTGTGGGGGACAAGTGTGGGGGGAAAGTGTGGGGGAAAGGTCTTTTGAGGGGCCACAAAAGGCGTGTGTGGTGGTCGTAGCGCAACAGCTTGTTGATCAGATCCACCGCCTGTGAGGGCACGTGGGGAGCACGAGGGGGTCGAGTGGGTGGAGGACTGAGGAGCGAGAACACAATTGTTTCCATGGGGTCAAGGGGCCAACATTTCCATGGCTCGAGACGAAACGTCTGCCTGCCAACTCTCTCATAATGCTGCAGGGTTTTTTTGAGAATTCTCAAACAAACCCTGCAGCATCGGTCCATCCAGAGCACCAGAGCCTCAGCCAGAGCGCATCAGCACGGAAGCCACTCAAGCCCTCTCACTTGAAACCCCTTGTGTGTCCGCCTGCGTGGGTTTGGAGTCACCACGTGGGCGCACTCAAGAGAGTGACCCCCGTGAAAGAATCAAACGCCCGGGGTGCACATACACATGCACGCACGCATGCACGCACGCACGGATGCACGCATGCACGGATGCACGCATGCACGGATGCACGCACCTGAGCGGACACGAGGTGGTGGTTGTCACACGTGATGAACCGCGACCATGGCTTGCGCGGTCGCCTGCACATGGGGTAACCAGGAGGAGGGGGGAGGGCGGGGGAAAGAAGGGGATGTGGGGATGGGGGGAGAAGGTGCGGGGAAGTGGGAAATTAGGGGAAGGAAGGGCAAGGGAGAAGGGGATGGAAATGGAAGGACAGGATGAACGAGCGAATATTCCTGGGAGAAAGAGATACAAGGGGGGTACGTATGAGTAGACAGTTGAGAATTCTCAAAAGTCACTCCCATGAGTAGACAGGGGAAAAAACGGCAGAATTCGATCCAAGAGGAAAAAAAGGTAGACAGGGAGGACAAGTGATAGCCAAAAGAGCACGATAGTCCATCTTCAGCAACACAGGGAGAGTGCCGGGAGAGGCAGGGCGGTTAGGGAAGGGAGGGGCAGGACGGGTAAAGGGCAGGGAGAGGCCGGGGAGGGGCAGTGCACCTGGAGAGCAGGAGTTGCAGGTGTGGGTCCAGCTTGATGTTGTAGCGCTTCACATAGTCAAACAGGCTGTCCGTGCCCAACACCTGCAGTCATACATGCACACACATGCATAACCACACATGCACACATGCACGCACGCGCATGCAAGTGCATGCCCACACACACACATGCACGCACACACACGCACACGCACACACACACACACGCATACACGCACACACGCACACACACGCACACACGCACACAAACGCACACACACACACACATGCGTTTAACTCAACGTTCGACTTGACACGAGCTCAGCAGTGGCGAAGCACTTGAAGTCATGAAGCACTCGTGAAGTCATGAAGCACTCGTGAAGTCATGAAGCACTCGTGAAGTCATGAAGCACTCGTGAAGTCATGAAGCACTCGTGAAGTCATGAAGCACTCGTGAAGTCATGAAGCACTCGTGAAGTCATGAAGCACTCATGAAGTCATGAACCACTCGTGAAGTCATGAACCACTCGTGAAGTCATGAACCACTCGTGAAGTCATGAACCACTCGTGAAGTCATGAACCACTCGTGAAGTCATGAACCACTCGTGAAGTCATGTCAACGGACACCCGTGAGACAGTTGTATAAAAGCGCATTCTTGAGGCGCCGCAAAAATGAACCACTGATAAGGATATGTCAACGGACACATATGTTTGTTGCGCGCCCTTCCAGTTTCCACAGTATAAGTACTAACTTTCACTTGTCATGTACTACTCACATATGCCGCTTGTACCCCTTCACAAGCACTTCCTACCACTGCCAATTTGTTCCATGTTTGAGCTGCCGTGCTGTAACAAGCGCTCAAGAGGCGAGCTTTAAGGCGAGTTTTAACGAGAGCCCGGCGTACCTCTCTTCCCCTGCCTCACCTGAGCTATCTTCACGAGCTGGTCCGCATTGTCCCACCCACAGAAGAAGGGCTCTCGCCGAAACACCTGCGCACACGCACGCACATGCAATGGGGGAGAGGGGGAGGAGGAAGGACGGTTGGGTGGGGGTTGAGGGAGGAGGAATGCTTGAGAGTTGGGGGGGGAAGAAATCTGAGACTGGGGTGGCGGTTTGGAGGTAATTTAGAATGGACTTAGAAATCGATGGGGTGGGGAGGTCTGGGTGGAAACGTGGGAGGAGGAAGCTGATGAGGTGCAAGAGCTGGTGTGGTGTGCTCCGGTGCAGGGAAAGGGAATGCATGGATGGTTATCTGTGAACCACTATTTCGATTGCCATCATGCCATGCCATGCCATGCCATGCCATGCCATGTCACGCCATGCCATGTCACGCCATGCCATGTCACACCATGCCATGTCACGCCATGCCATGTCACGCCATGCCATGTCACGCCATGCCATGCCATGCGTCACCATGCCACGGCTCACCATCCCGGCGACCATGCATCCGAAGCTCCACATGTCAAGCGAGTAGTCGTACTCCTCCAGATCCACCAGTAGCTCTGGGCCCTTGAAGTACCTGGGGGATGGGAGAGCGGGGGAGCACAGGAACGGCCGAGAAGGGCATGGAAGCACAGGAGGAGGAGCCAGTGGTGTTGAGAACGCCACAGCACATGTCGAGCGGCGAGTAGTCGTACTCCTCCAGTGGTCCACCAGTAGCTCTGGGCCCTTGAAGTACCTGCAGGGCCGAGCAGCAGGAGACGCAGAGGAAATGCAACGAAGCAGGGTTGAGAACGCTGCATGTCGAGCGAGTCGTCATGAGTAGCCAGCCGTACTCCTCCAGGTTTACCAGCAGCTCTGGTCCCTTGAAAGTACCTACACACTCATGCGCACACATGCGCACACGGGCTGTTATTGGGACGTTACTAATGCGTTCGCTACTGTCACGAATTCTTTAACGTTTGTTTGTTTGTCATTTTGTTAATGCAATCTTCGTGGGTGATGCAACCCGTTGAGGGAAACACCTGCAGCTCCTTCCTTCCCAACTTCCCGCACCTTACACTCTGACACACACACACACACACACACACACACTCCTCTCACACTCTCGCACTTTCACACACACACACACACACATTCACGCACTCTCTCTCTCTCTCTCTCTCTCTCTCTCTGGTGCAACGCCCCTGCCTCACGTTCCGAGGACACACACACTCACTCCCATCCCATCAACACTCTCGCACCGGGAGGCGACGCGCACGTTGTAGGCCGTGCCCGGGTGGTAGAACTCCGCGAGGCCCCAGTCTATGAGGCGCAGCTGGCGGCGCTGGTGGTCGATCATCACATTGTGCGGCTTCACATCGCGATGCATGATGCCCTGTGAATGCGCATAGTCCAGAGCCTGAAAACGGTGGGTGGGAAACGAGACGGCACGGGATGGGAAGGGACGGACGGGGCTGTGAAGAAAGAAAGACAGCGCGAGGCATGACGAGAGAGAAAAGGCAGGTAGGGGAGAAGCGGCTGTCAGGCAGGTAAAAAATCTCCCCACACCCACGTCCCCTCTCCCCCCATCCACCTCCCCCATCCGTCACTAATATCCCCACGCACCAGGAGCAGCTGGTAGAGGTAGTAGCGGACATCGTGGTCGGTGAGCGAGGGGTAGAGCAGCTTCCAGTCAAGCGAGTCAACGAGGTCAAACACCAGCGAGGGCGTGCGAGTGACGGGGTCGCGCACCACGTCCAGCAGCGAGATGATGTTGGGCCCGCCCGCCAGGTTCTGCAGCACCTTGATCTCGCGCTTGATCTGGAGGGGGGGGGGGGGGAGGCGGTGGGAGATGGTTTGGGTGAGGGGGAGGGGGGGGGGGGGGGTTGGGGCGGGTGCGCAGTGGTGGGCAGGGGCGGGGGTTGAGGGGAGGAGGAGGGTGGCGGGTTTGAGGCGGTTTTAGAGGCGCCTTGAGGATGATGTCGTGCCCGCCCGACAAAGAGGCAGTTTGCGGGTAGAGGTAATGGTTGGGTGGGCGCGCGTTGTGGTGGGTGGGTGCTTGTGCATGGGATACGGGGAGAAGGGTAGGGGTAGGGGTAGGGGTAGGGGTAGGGGTGTGGAGTGGAGTGGAGTGGAGAGACGGAGCTCGGATTTTGTGATTCATTCATTACAGGCATGGATTTCTTTTTCTTTCCATTGGCGCCATTTCACCCTCGCACGAGCCGGGCTCGCATCGCCCCTTGGGTAACCAACTCACAGGTAGTGCCTTGACTATTGTAGTGCCTTGACTATTGTAGTGCCTTCAATCCACTCTCAATGCCACTCCAGTTCCATACCCGGGTCTCATCATAAACCCCCCATTTCCCTTCTTCCTCCCCTCCCCTCCCCTCCCCTCCCACTCCCCTCCCCTCGCCCTCGCCCTCGCCCTCGCCCTCCCCCCTCCCATTCCCTCACGCCCGCCCACCCGCCCGCACAGTCTTCCTGCGCACAGGCATCTGCACTGTAACGATGCACCTCCCTTTCCATCCCCCTCCTCCCGCTTTCCTTCTCTCCCCCCTTTCCCTCCCCGCCCCCTCACTTCTTCCGCCGCACAGGCTGGAGCACTTTCAACAGCGCATTCCCTCACTCCCCGCTCCTCCCCTCTCCGTCCCCCCCTCCGCCCTCCCCGCATTCCTCACCTTCTTCCGCCGCACGGGCTTGAGCACTTTAACGATGCACCGCTGCCCGCCGCGCACGGTGCGCGCCTCGAAAACCTCGCTGTACTTGCCGCGCCCCACCTTGCGCACTAGCTCGTAGTCCGCCTGCTCGCTGCACCAGCAAGGGGGGAGGGGGGGGGGGGGGAGGGGGGGAGTTCAGGGCTGTTTGGCCTCGTTGACCCCCTCCAACACCTCGTTGTGCTTCCCGCGCCCCACCTTGCGCACCCGCTCGTAGTCCGCCTGCTCGCTGCAGGGGGCAAGGGGTGGAGGAAGAGGGGGGGGGGAAGGGGTTGGAAGAACTGGGGGGACGTTTTGGGGAAGTCTGAACCCTGTCTTGCTACTTTCAACGCTCCACCTTGCGCGCCAGCTCGTACCTGCCTGCTAGCTGCAAGCGGGGGAGGTGGGGGGAGAGGGGGGAGAGGGGGGAAGGGCCGGGGAGGTTTGGTTGGTTGTGCGGGAGCCTGGACCCTGTCTTGCTGCTTCCCGCGCCCCACCTTGCGCACCCGCTCGTAGTCCACCTGCTCGCTGCAGCGCCGCTGAGGGGAGGGGTAATGGGGGGAAGGAAGCACGGACGGGAGGGAGGAAGAGGAAGGGTTGCGGGGGAAACAAGTCTTGCCGCCGTGTCACGCGTCCCACCTTGCGCACCATCTCGTACTGTAAGCCGGCACCCCCTATCCAGCCTGGCCCAACTCCTACTACCACAACGCCCGCACACGCGCTCGCACCGCGCGCACTCGCACCGCGCGCTGTTCCGCACGCGCCACGTACCCCCATGGAACGTGGATTGCCTCGTAGTCCCAGTACTCGCGCGGCCGCTCCTCGTTCACGTGGCTGTACACCCGCGACCACCTCCCCGCACTCGACGCCGCGCCGCCCGCCGCCGGGACCTCCGTTCGCTGCGTCACGGGCGGCGCGGCAGCAGTGCCTAGGTCAGGCGGGGCCGATACGGTCGACGGGGACGACGTAGCCGCCGCCTCTGCCGCCGCCGTAGGTGCCGCCGGCTCACGCGGAGATGGCTCCGGGACACGTGGTGCGCCTTCCACCGACGGGGGAGGACCGTGCAAGAAGTTTAAAATATCTGCCACGTGAAGGGCCGCGAATGAGCGGCTCGACTGCGACGATGACGTTGACGGCGGCGGCGGTGGCGGTCCGAGCTCGTTTCCGTCGACCGTCGGAGCCTCGGACGGCAGCCAGAGTAGGTCGCCGGCCAGAACTTGACGGTCGGCATGCGTGGCGTCCATGGTGGAGGGTACTCCTGACGGAATCACTCCAGAACTCACGCCGGAAATGCCGGATGTTTGCCTGTCTGACGAGACCGACGGCGATGCGTCTGCGTTGAAGGCAGCGTTGACGGAGGCGTTGACTGCGTTGACCGAGTTGCGCGGAAGCGCGTTCCCGGACGGAGAATGTTCCGGAAACGGGGACGGTGAGGGGGAGTGTGCGGGGAGAGGTGCGGGGGAGTGGTGGTGCGATTGGGGAGTGACAGGCGCGGGTGAAGTGGCAGCATGGCGCGCCGAGCGGGAAGCGGAGGATGACGCGACGACAAGCCGCGATGCGGGGAAGAGAACATGGGTGGGCGAGAAGAGATGGTGGTTGTGGGAATGGACTGGAAGGTGCGGGAAGAGGGAGGAGGTGGAGGGAGAAGAGGAAAGAAAGGACAGATTCGCAGCAGAATGAGAGGCGATGGTGGGTGCTACAGCAGTCGTAGCACCTCCTAATATGAGGCTCATTTTTTCTCTTGAGGTGGAGGTTCAGCGCAAGGGCTGCGCTGTGACTTGCGCGGACCGAGATCCGCAAGTAGGAGCGGCGGTGATTCAAGAAGGTGGAGTCGCTCACGCCCGCCGCAGTGCACTGGACTTGCGCGATTCGCAAATGCTGTGCTGTGACTTGCGCGCGATTGGAAGAGATTAAAGTGGTAGACCTGACAGACGATTCTTGACAGGCGTAATGGCAATGTTTTACTATGTGGTTCGTTTACACAAGTGGAGAAGTGTACGGGCGTTGTTGTACGAGGTTTGGGGTGAGGAGTTTCGTCACCGGCGGGAATTTGTTTGCGCGCGGTGGAATGAATGGAGCGTAGATGCGAGAGAACGGATTTTTTAAACGGGCAGGGCAGGTTTGGAAGTTGGTCCTCCAAACGAAGTGATTGGAGCCTGTACAGTGCCACCTTGACAGCTTCACAAAGGGTTCGATACCACATTTTCCTTGGCTCTGTTTGGCAGGCATCATGGCCACTATGGCCATGATGGGCATTTCTAATGGGCCCCCAAAAAATGCCGCCTGGGCACTTCGAGAAACAGCTTCGAAATCGGATACCTGCAGTGCCATTCGGAAAAACGGGGTTGAGTGTTTGGTTGGCATTATTTGGGTGTAGATTGATGGCATCTTTCGAGATTTCGGGTTTTGCAGAAGATGGTAAGCAGTTGCCATGATGGTTCGCGTGATAATGTGATTGGCTGGCATATTTGACCAGTCACTTTTTATTGCCCCGAATCACTGATACCCCGCATAGTGCGTGGCCTCGAGGCCGCATGGTGCGGGGGATCAGAAAATGGGCACTTTGCCAGAGAAACTAGGTTGGGTGTAGATTCCGGCGGTTGAAAACGCCTGCAAAAAAAGGGGTGTTTGGTTGGCATTCTATTATTGTCAGGTTCGGCGTAGTCCGCTTATATCGAGCCTTGATAGCCTTTAACGCGCTTATCAAAGAAGGTTCCAGGGTGGTCGGTTTACTGTAGCCCATCCCCATCCCCCTGCCAAACTGGGCCCTTGTCTCAGAACAAACCTTCAAAGAGCCATAGACTGCTGGCAAACTTTCGTCCTGAATCAACAAGTACATCAGCATAGAGCAGCAACACAAACTGCTGGCAAGGTTGGAACACGTAAACACTTCATGAAATCAGGGTATAATTTGGCGCTACATAGTTTGAGCCAGGGGCTACCAGCTTTTGAAATCTAGAAGAGGAGGAGGTTCTTGCTCTCAGGTAATACTGTAGCATTAACATAACTACCTGACCATTATTCAAGTTTGTGGGTGGGTACAGTCTGAATTTGGCCTAACAATTCCGCATCTCTCAAGAGCAGCTCCCACAAAGCTTTGTTTGGGCACACGAGGATGTGATGGCAGGCGGGCTGAGTAAGCAGGTGTGATGATTGACGTGGAGAGCGTGTTATACCAGCGTTTGACAGTGTGATGTGACGTGTATCTGTACACGTGCGACAGAAAATGACAGAACCAATAGCTGGACGAACCGTTTATACGGGAATACGTAGCAGAGCTAACTCTGTTAAAACATTCACAGCCTAAATGAATACCACAGTTGAAACTGTTTCTGCCACAGTAAAGGTAACATATGTGGTCTAATTTTCGCTCATGCATTATGAATATACTGTCGCTACCATCTGATGTACGCACTTGTTTTGCATTGCAATTATTGAAAAACGATAGTTTTAACTCACACTCAAAGCTTGCGACGACTCTGGCGTATTGCGGATTGAGCTGAACAATGTAGCTGCGGCTACTGTATATTGTCTGGTGCAAACATTGGTGGCAAGCCTATAACTCGAGTCAACTCGTGTTATACAGGCTAACATCCTGAACAACGCTGTTGGTGCTGTTGTTATTTGTAGCTTGTGTTGTGCTGCAGATGATGTTACGAATAACAAAAGATGAAGCATTACTGTGCACTCCTTACCGCAGCAATCGAAGCACGCACTACCGAGGTTAAAGACGAAGGGACAGAAGTGACGCGAAGGGTGATACGGTTATGAAAGGATCTGGATCGTCAGGCAGACAGCATTAGGCAGCAGCAGGGGCGGCGAGGATTCTGCCCGAACTGTTTCGTAACCGTCTGGAGTCGCACGGTTGGATTTTCGCTGCAATAAAGGAATGTACCCCTTATAGTACATGGCTAGCTCTGTCGTTTCATATTCCTTACTGTACTCCTATTTATACCACTGTATTCGCATGTTTTAATCATCTCAAGCATTTTATGTTAGAACAATATAGCTCATGCATATTGTGTAGGCTATAGTGGGGTAGCCCATAAGGGGTACAACCCAATTAGGGTCATTACTTGTACCCAATTCATTCATAGTTCATTCATTCCTTGTTTCTTATCATGGTATCGAGCAGGTTCCCCCGTGGGAACTGTTCCTAGGGCCCACCGTTTTTTTTTTTTTTTTCCTGCCCGGAGCGCACTCAGCCCCTGCCCGAGTCGCGCTCCCCTCTCTCGCGCCGCCCTAGCGGCCCCTTCGCGCCGCCCTCGCGGCCCCTTCGAGCCGCCCTCGCGGCTCGATCCGCCGCCCTCGCGGCCCCGATCAGCCGCCCTCGCGGCCCCGCTCCGCCGCCCTCGCGGCCCCGATCCGCCGCCCTTCGCGGCCCCGATCCGCCGCCCTCGCGGCCCCGCTCCGCCGCCCTCGCGGCCCCGATCCGCCGCCCTTCGCGGCCCCGATCCGCCGCCCTTCGCGGCCCCTACTCCGCCGCCCTCGCGGCCCCGATTCGCCGCCCTCGCGGCCCCGATCCGCCGCCCTCGCGGCCCCTACTCCGCCGTACTCGCGGCCCCTACTCCGCCGCCCTAGCGGCCCCGATCCGCCGCCCTAGCGGCCTCCGGCCCCTGCTCCTACGGCCCCGGCGCCTGCTCCTACGGCCCCCGCGCCTACTCCTACGAGCAGCCCACCCGCCGAGCCGCCCAGCAACCGAGCAGCCCAGCCGCTGAGCCGCCGAGCCGCCCAGCAACCGAGCCGCCCAGCCGCCGAGCCGCCCAGCAGCCGAGCCGCCCAGCCGCCGAGCCGCCCAGCAGCCGAGCCGCCCTGCCGCCGATACGCCAAGCAACCGAGCCGCCCAGCCGCCTGTCAGAACATATATATAGCTTATGCTGTTGTGTAGGCTATAGTGGGGTATCCCATAGGGGGTACAACCCAATTAGGGTTTCCTATATGTACTCACTTCATTCATAGTTCATTCATTTCGCTTTCTCCTTTTCACACCGCCGAGCCGCCCAGCCGCCGAGCCGCCCAGCAGCCGAGCCGCCCAGCAGCCGAGCCGCCGAGCCGCCCAGCAGCCGAGCCGCCCAGCCGTCGAGTCGCCGAGCCGCCCTGCAGCCGAGCCGCCCGAACCGCCCTGTCCGGTAAGAGCAGCGCCTCTCTCACAGCACTGCCCTCACCCTACTGTTTGCACTGCTAGTCTACTGCTGTCATGGCTACCCCTAGTGTCCTCGCTTTTGACGCTGAGGGTCGGGCCATTGACTTTGACGTCTGGATAGATGACCTGCAGCTTTTCTTACAGTGCGACAGAGCAGACGGCCTCTCCCTCTTTGACCTCACTTCTGGTGCCTCTCCTGCCCCCGCTGCTGATGCTGACGCCACTGTTCGCTCACAGTGGGCCACGCGCGATGCTGCTGCACGTCTTGCTGTGCGTCGCCACCTACCTACCTCTGAGCGTGCGCACTTTAGCCAGTACAAGAGTGCTCAGACCTTGTACGACGCTGTAGTTGCACGCTACTCCTCCCCTGCCACTGCTGCACTGAGCCGCCTCATGCTACCGTACCTCTTCCCTGACCTTACTGCCTTTCCCACAGTCGCTGACCTCATTACGCACCTCCGCACTAGTGACACTCGCTACCGCGCTGCGCTTCCTGCTGAGTTCTGCGCCAAGAACCCCCCCCCCATGTACATCACCCTCTACTACATAGTCACCCGTCTCCCTGACTCCCTTCGCGTAGTCAGGGACCACTTCCTCTCGGTTTGTCCCACCACTCTCACCGTTGACCTCCTCGAGAAGGCCCTCCTAGCAGCAGAAAAGAGCATAGTCGCTGTAGGAGCCTCTCGTGGTGACCCTCGCACCCCCATCTTTGAGGGGTGTTCCCCCTCCCCTCTTTTGCCCTCTGTTGCCTCTGCTGCTGCGGCCGACCTCGCTGGTTTGGAGTCGGTTGGGGCAGCGTCTACCCCTAGCGGGAGACGCCGCCCTGGCAGGGGCAAGGGGGGCAGGGGCGCTGGAGGAGCTAGCGGGGGCGGTGGAGGCGGCGGTGGAGGCGGTGGAGGAGGTGGGGGTGGCGGTGGGGGTGGTGGCGGGGGTGGAGGTGTAGGTGGTGGCAGTGGAGGCGCAGGCGGCAGCGGCGGTGGCGGAGGGAGCGTAGGTGGCGCCGGTGGAGGAGGAGGCGGCGGAGGAGGTGGAGCTGGTCGGGGTGGCGCTGCGCAGAGGGTCAGCTCCGGTGGTGGTCAGCGCCAGCAGCAGCAGCAGCAGCAGCAGCAGCAGCAGCAGCAGCGCACTCGTGACGTCCCCTCCCCTCAGCAGCTCCGTGAGTGGTACACTGCACGCCAGAGGGGTTGGGGTACTGGTCCGTGCACCTACGTCCTGCGCACCGGCGACCGCGCGGGTGAGCAGTGCGGGGGTGCGCACTCCACCCAGCGCTGCTTTGGCCGCCTGACGGACGCTTGGCGTCACCAGTTCCCTGAGGCCACTGAGATCCCCCGCTGGGGTGAGCTGTCTCGGGCGGGTGTAGCTGTCTTTGACCTTGACTTTGATGCTATTCTTGCTGCCATGTATACTGTGACTATTAGTGATGAGGGTGACTGTTACCGGTGTTTTCCGCCCGACCCGGGCATTGAGACTGCTGCTCTAGGTCCTGGTGAGGCTGCTGCTCTAGGTGCTAGCGAGGCTGCTGCTCTAGGTGCGTCTGCTCCCTCAGGTACTGGTGAGTCTCCTCTCTCAGGTTCTGCGTCGGCTTCGGCC